GGGGTGCGATAGCTGGTTAACGGAAAAATATATTTTAAACATATATTTTGAACATATATTTTAAACATATTTATTCGATGATGCGATCAGTGACGTGTCCCCTGACGATGGTATGTATGATTCTGTCACATTCAAATTCTTCGCCATGTTCTGAATAAGTGCCATCATCTTCCTTTTAATACTTCGATGACTGATGAATCTCGTTTTGTGAAAACTCCAACCAGTTCTCACATTTATCTCTTATTATTTCACGGATCAGTATCATTGGACAATTAATTCAACCAATCACACGGCAGTGCCCGTTATATGCAGCCACAAATGTATATCAAAAATGATATTTCACAATCCCTTCTATAGAGTAACTCTGGGTTTTTCCAGATTTTCCTCCAACAACAAAATGTTCTCACATATTTGCTAACATCAATGATTTATAGGAAAAACTGTTTGTTGCGATTCTTTTCTTTATATTAGGGCGCACAAACGTCCAGATAATCAGACAAACACACAGCAATCAGTTACACACTAATTAATATAAGGTGTGTTAGTTTAATAGGTGTTTTCAGTTTTCATATTAAACAATATGATAGTCATTCTTAAAGGGTTGTAAAAAATATTTGCCTTTTAAAAAGAAAATTATAAATTACAGTTCTATTGTAGGGAAAAAACTGCATTAATCACATGTTGGATATTGTGTGATGATAAATAATAGGGTAATTCGAGGAGAGATGGGCAGTGAGGTGAGATGGGCACAATATCCTCTAGCGGTTATTTAAGGAACTATTAACATTTCGTCCGCTGCTAGTTGGAGGAGCAGGCGCGGCCATTGTTGTAGAGTCGTTTTATAAGTCGTTCTGTCTATATTTTTATATTATTTACAAAACACTGTCAAGGTAAGGTCTCAAAATTTTTCGCTCATATTTTTAAAGACGTGTTACTTTTTCGTTTTTACTGTTTTTTGGATAATTATGCTTTGGCATAACTAGGATGGGGCTGGATAATAATGTTAAATGCCCTGAAGTCTTTTAACGAACATGTAAACAGTATGGCCGAGGTGCCCATCTCTCCTCAACAAAAAGGAGGGATGGGCATTAACGGCACGAGGATAGTTGGGCAGGAGGCCATTGACAAAGTAAGAGACGGGCAGAAGGTGCTTGCTATTGCAAAATTATATAGCATCCCAGAACTACTTCACAGAACAGACTCAAAAGTGGAATAAAATCAAAAGGTTCATTTGGGCCGCCAAGTCAACTTGGCCCAGAAGTGGAAACGAAAATTGTCAACTATATAAAAAAATTACAAGCTAGAGGGTTCGCACCAGATCGAAGTGCTGTGCGTGAAACGGCCTTCAGGATTGCGCAGGCACTTCAAATTAAAACTTCCTTCATTGAGGATATTGGTCTTGCAGTTTTTCCCTGGTTTAATTCGTTTATGCGCAGAAACCCAAGCTTAAGAATAAGGCAGGCGTAGGGCGAGCTAAAAGATAAGGCTCTAAAGAAAGAAATGAGACAGAAGGAAGTTGAAGAAAGAAAAAGAAAGAGAGCTTTTAACAAAGAAATTAAACAAAAGGAAGTTGAAGAAAAAGAGAGGGATAGAGCTTTGAAGAGAGAAATTAAGGAAAAGCAAGCGATGGAGAAAGGAAATAAAGAGAAGAAAAGGAGAAGAAAACTTTCTTATCAGTACGACGAGTCCGAATGTGATGAGGCCATTTCTTTACATGACGACAGTACTGACGAATGGGACGAAGAAGTTGAGGAAGTTAAAGAAGATGAGTCAAAAGAGTTGCAAGAGGGCACGTTTGTGGTAGTGAGAGTTTCTGGAAAAATGGTCTACCGTTTGTTCGTTGCCAAAATAATTTATAAAAGTTCAGAAGGCTTAGAAGTCAAATTTTATAAAAGAGTAGAGATGTTAATGAAATTTAAGGAAACCGACGAGACGAATTATGCAGATGAAGAGGGCGTTGTCATAGTGCTGTCAAATCCGATCGAGGCAAGCTCAGCAAGATATCAGAACATGATAGGTTTTAGTAACGATTTATCTGAATTTTCTAATGTTCTTGGGTAACTTGTTTCTTTTAATAAAACAGCCTAGCACATTTAGGCCTCATTTTGAATTGTTCTTTGGTTAATTCTCTTTCATTATACCTATACCTGATAATACATTGCCTTTCGATATTTTGCCTATTGGAAAACTAGAGGGTACAATTCAATTGAATTAGGTAGAAATTGTGATTTCCAGCGAAAAAATCACAAAAAATTGTCGCTTAGTGTAACTTAAAGCTATGCCCATCTCTTCTTACCGGAAAATTTGTTGGTGCCCAACTCTCCTCGCAAGGTGAGGAGAGATGGACAAAGACAAGGGTGAGAATTTTTCCTAATAGATCCCAAATAAATCCATTTCGACGTAAATGTTGCACTACATTGTGTGTTATAATCTCTATACTAACATATTTCAACAGAGGTTAGCAAATAGTCTGCATACTAACGGTGACACCATTCGTTTTTCAAAACTGTGCCCATCTCTCCTCGAATTACCCTACTACAAATGTCAACTTGTCATTCAGATAGAATTGATCGTTTCTTAAATATATTTTGCATGATTGACTCTATGATTATGTGGTATGAAAACTGCTGAAAACACCTATATTTCAATTCATTAGAATACTTCAGTACTAGTATTTCTAATAGGTTCTCATTCATTTATTTTCTATGAGATTTCAAATTTGTCAACAATTTTTTAGACAATGGGCATCTAAACCTCTGTCAAAATCATGGTCAAGAACATTCAAACATGTTTTTTTAATTATAAATTTTCATCTTATATGACTTGAGGTTATAAATAAACTGTATAGTTACACACTTACAATTTTTTCAAAGGTAGGAGCTCCAAAAATATCTTAGAACTTGACATATTTTTCACAATGTAGAAGCAAGAAGATGAAAAGTTAAACAACAAATGACAACTCAATAACAGCATTAATCACCGAATTTGCGATAAAAATCAAAGTATATGGAATTCAGGAAACATATTTCAGTGAATAATATTCTTGGTGACCAATTCCGCACAGTACAGATTGAAGTTACTCACAATGACTTATCTGTATAAATGAAATATGAGGGTACTTCACTTTTGAAATTGAGCTAGTAGTTATACATTTTGATGAGAAGGGTTCCGATACATTGAGAAAAATCTATTTTCTGTACTCAATGAACTATCAAATATTTTACTAAGGAATTTATTCTATTTATGTTTACGTGGCCCCATCTAGTGAGTGAAAGATACATTAAATGGATCAACTGACTGCCTAATGGTAGTCTATATAAATGGCATAACCTTCAGTATGCCTTAAGAGATAAAGGGGACAAGAATTTGTAGTTAGCCAATCATCCATTCATAATCATGAATTTGAAATCTTTTCAAAACATTTCAATAAGTTTTGAATACTCAATTAGTCAAAAAATGGTCACTTCCTGATTTTGTCAATTGAATTAGTGGCAATTGTATTGTGGTGAATAAATGGGATTTTGTAGATACATTATGAAGCCAGAATTTACAGTATCATGAGTATCTAGAAAATATCACAATTACTGAGTCAACCATGACAATATTACTATATTATTAATAGTAGAAGTGTTAGAATGCATCTTACAAAATTAATTTTTACACACACCAGAACTATGAAACAAGTTTTCCAGATGCACTGTTTGCCAATAGAGTTGCCATCAATTAAACTTATTTCTCAAACAATTATTTTATATCTGTTTATGTTTGAAAGATGAACTTTCACTAGATCTGAGTGACAGATGTTATATTGATGGTTTAGAGACTGAGGATTTTTCAATAACCAATTGAAATTTTAATTCGTGTAACTGCTTCACCCTCCTAGATGTCAATATTATGATCATTCAGAACTTGTATTCATTTTTTTTTCTGGAAAAAAGTAGAAACACGAAAAAATTATGTCACAATTCAAAATTATTTTCAAATACTTATAGGAAACTATTCAAAAATATTTTCAAATATAGGTCTCATCAACCAGTGTTTTATATGTGCTTACATTAGCTCCCATTATGATGTTCTTCTTTTAGTACTGTCTTTGTTTCTGCATAATTTCCTCCGTTTCCCTTGTTCAAAAATTTCTATTTTCTCAATTATCCTGTGTAACTAAGTGTTCATTATATACCACTTCAGATCATCTTTCTTTAAGGAGCTTACCAAATATTCTGAAAAACGAGTACTGGACCCTGTTTACAGATTTGCCATATGTTATGTGATAAGATGGGAACAACTTTCACGAGTCTGGTAAGCTGTAGGTATTTGTAGCTTCCAAAATCATCAACCGGCAGATTTTTTTTTTACACCAATAAAAAAATATTCCTTGAGGGTGATTTTTTCTTTCTCATGTTAGGTACATTTTCACATTGTAGGACCCTTCATTCGGCTCCAAGAATGTCAACATTGGGTCATAGATCCAATAAAATGATACTGCTTACTCTCTGGCATACTTCAGAGCCTAAACTTTACCATGTATAGCAAGAAATAATCAATTCTAAGCTATACTTTTCGAATTGCTTGTTGACTACCCTATGGAGCAGGCAACTCCATGCGTGGATGATATGAGATCAGAAAATAATAAAATGATTATTAACTTTTTTAGACTCAATCCTGGAACTGATGATCTTTAAAACTCATAATCTTCACAGCTGGTCCAAGGTCAGACTTATTGAAAAAAATAATAATCATTGAAAAAAATAATAATGACTAATTGTTATGTAGATATCAAATAAATGCCTCCGTCATGCCTGTTATTAGATAAGGTTATTTGGAAACTGGTCAATGTAATGAAATGTCTCTAATATTTGAAATTTCAAGAGACACTCTTGAATAACTTTTGAAAAGAGCACACATTCAGACTAGTCACGAAAACCAAAACTAAGAGATTGTACTATGCCTCACAAGTATTGAAGTGTCAGTATGCAAAATAATCATGATCTTGAACTTACTTTATGATATTGAAGTTTCCTTCCGGTACCGTAACATCAACATATGAAAAATCGTTTGGCACTTTAACGGTAGAGCCATCAATTCTCTGTATTTGTACCCTAAAAGTTTCAATGTCTTCAGGTGATTTTTTAAGACCATCTGAAAGACAAAGGAATTAGTATTAAAAACATATTGAATGAGGAGTACTCTACCTTTTGGAACAAATCTCACTGCATTCATTATTGATAATTGTTTTTTGGATATGAAATATTTTGTATCAATCTTAGGTGTACAACTAATCAACGGAATACAATCATTTGATTATATTCAAATGATGCACTTATATTATTTACACCACTACAAGAAAAGATTGAGGACAAAGGAATTTTCAAAAAATCAATCCCTTATTCAATTTTAATAGGTACATGAATATATTATTGGAACACATTACAACTTCACTGAAAATTTGAGAAAAAAATTAGTCTCCAAAATAAATTTCAAATATATGTCACCCATTTATCAAAACATTATTAATTTTGTTGAAGGCTTTTGGTTGGTCAAACTGAAATTTGACGTAATTGTCATTACATTTTTTATTTTTATGAATTTTGGTTTTTTGTAGTGGTCAACCTACAAAACTTCATTCAACATCTATTTTGAATGAAAAATAAGCATATTAATTCAAAGAGGTCTAACTATTTTCAAGGTCTGCAAATTGTTTTCAGTAATATTGAGGAAAGCTTCCCAGATAAAAAAACTCAACCAAACAAAAACATTTAATAATAATAATCGACAGAAAAAATATCTACCCTCCACCCATCGGGTTTACGAAAATTCAAATATCTTATATGACAATAAACCTTGCAGGTTGGCAGAAACTTTTGCAGCTCAAGGGTCTCATGATATGATATAAATCGTGATATGAATCTTCACCAGATTAAACATTTCCGACAGAAAAATGTCTAATTATCACCCTTTGTGTATGAAAAAATTTCACAATTCTCATGAAATTGAAAATAAACCTTGCAGGTTAGCAGATTTTTTTCAGGTCGGGTCTCCCAGATATGAATCTCGACCAGAATAATCATTTCTGACAGAAAAATGCTCAACCATCACCCTTCATGCATAAAAAATTTCAACATTCCCCACAAAATTGAAAATGAACCTTGCAGGTCGCCAGAAATTCTTGCAGGTCTGGTCTCCCAAAAATGAAAAGAAATTAAAACTCCCACCCATCGTGCAAAAAAATTTCACATAATAATTAACCATAACACCATTTTCTTACATATATTTTTGAATCATGTTCCCAAAAATCACGATGAATATATATTTTCATCCTAAGAGTTGTTAATATCATTTTTTTAAATGTCATCGTTAGAAACATTTTCGGTTTTGATTTTTTTATACTGATATTGGGTCGTCGAACGAGTTTCATTAATTTTCACTGTATTCTTTTTTCTATAATAAAACTATATTATGTCTGAACATTGAAAAAAACTATTTCTTCATCTCCTGAAGACCACAACTTGGTTGGTTAAACGTTCGTCGAGAAGAGTAATTCATGTCTGTTGTTTGGGAGAAGTGCTTGTTTTGGATATGTAACGTAGTCAATAAACTAGTCCATTCGCATGGAATTTTCAGTGTTCTCTGAACGCGGATACTATGAAAAAGTGGTGTAAGATAGTCAAATGATGTATAAAAGATCACGGTGAGATTCCAATTATGTTGTTTATCTATTCGTGCTTCCCATGTTCCACACAAGGGAAGCACAAGAAAGCCCAAAAATATATATGTAAACATCTGACATGACTTTGTTTTCGTTTTACCATCTGGCTTAGTTTCAACATGTGCGGTAGATGTCGTTTCCATATTTGTCAAATTTGAAAAAATTTATAGGTTAATTTATATACGTGCTCTATTTTCTTTGCTCTGTGTGAATTTAAAGAAATTATACATTTAATAAAATGACCAAACTTGTGGAGTGGCTGTCTGGTTTTAGTATCTTGATTGCCATTTGGTTGTATATGATTAAGGAAGAAAGACATTTTAACTTTGTTCATGAACACTATGATATTGTACTTTACTCACCAGTGATTTTTGTAATTCTATTTGGTGTATGTCCTATATATATATGCTTATATATTTTTAACATTTCAATAATAATATTTTTACAGTTATATGCAGCAAGTGTGGTCTTATACAGAGTTTATGCATTCAATGATTGTCAAGCAGCTGCAATAGAGTTGCAAAATGTAAGTAAATAATACATGCTCAATCAGCAAAAGTAGAGAAATTTTAAATTAACAAGTGTTAATTATTCAAATAAAAAATGGCACTAAGAACCTCAAGAACTGTTTTATCTATATAAAAAACATGATTTCTCTCTGATTATTAGTAAAAGTACTTTCTTCTCCCAGTATTGGTTATAAACAAGTCTAACCCATTTTTCATCTATTCACAAAAACAACCAAAGTTGAATTCATGTATTTTAATAACTATAGGTAGGTACCTGAAAAAAATGTGCTCTAGAGAGACTAAAACTGTCATGCTTACTCCTACAGGTTTTTCTACTGCTTGGATGCCTTCTGACTTCCCCACTTCTTCCAAGTCTGTAGACTTCATAATGCCCATTCCTAAAATCTCCCTTCCTGTACTAGTTTGCAGAGGTCTTTATTAAATGTTTGTCATATTGTTTTGGATAAAATTGGAGTAATCAAAAAGTATGCTCCCTGTAATCCAGTGCCTCACATAAAACATGGTGAGCTGTTGTCTTTGTTGAACAGCACTATTTTGTTCAAGTGTTTTCTAAATGAACAGTGTCTAGAGAGGAGCCCAAATAGATTCGTGCTGTTTCCTATATTAAAGAATTTGGTATCTCCATAGTTGATTCAGAACTATTATATAGAGTTGATGATCAGTATCTAGAACACTTGTTGCCTATGATTCCCAAGTGTGCTGGCATCCAGTAAAGAGACAATCTATGCTTGTCAATGAATGCTTTTGGTTCTTCATAGCATTACCAGACGAGCCTCAATGTCCCAAATGCAACCTCACTGCCAGTAAGAAAAATTATTCACCCATGTTGAGGTATCAAATTTATTTTGCTTGCATATTACAATATTGCATATACTTCCACTAAGCATGTTCTCATGAAGACATCAATCACTCTTCACAGTTTGTGACTTTAACCTGAAGTTGTCTTGTGGTATGTAGTTGTTTGTTGTAACTTCTTGCACTTATTCCAAAATTTCTTTTTTGTAGCTTCTAATCTGAATTTACCTACTCTTGTCTACCACAATATTACAAAATGTTGAGGAAGTAGTTTCGAGAGTGTCTCCAATGCTGTTTTTGATGAGATTTTCATAGTACAGGTTTTCCCAAACATTATATTAAAGAATTTGGTATCTCCATAGTTGATTCAGAACTATTATATAGAGTTGATGATCAGTATCTAGAACACTTGTTGCCTATGATTCCCAATCTTACCTATTCACACTCGACCAAATAAACGAAGCCGATTAGTTTGAACGGTGAGTGGTTTTTCAGGTCAGATGGTGAGAGGCGAAACACACGGTCTTCCAACAGTCTAAGTCTCTACATATGATGATTCAGATGACAGTGACATGTGAGAAGACTTGTTAGATATTGTAGTTCATGCCTACTGTAGTCCAACTGTTTGCTTTCAAGTTCGAAGGGTGAATAAACGCCTTGGAGTGAGCCAATTCTAGAAAATTCTGCCAGAACTCCACAATTCTTCTTGGGCAAAGCCTAAAGCAATGCCAATGACAGGTTCTGGTCCGATGAAGCTGCTTGCAGCACCATCCTTTGCAAGAAAGTCAGCAAGCAGCCTCATTGCCTTCCAGGCCAGTATGGCTAGGAGCATAGACAAGAAACCATCTGTTTCAGTCTTCCTACCGAGGAGAGTTATTTTTGGCAATTTGCTACCAATTTAGACCTTGCTAGGTAGGAGCAAAGAGCTTCCAAAGCCGCTTGACTGTCCGTGAGTATTTTTATCGACTTGTGTTTGAGGTTGGATTCTTGAAATCTCTCGGCACACAATTCAATAGCATAATTTTCAGCTTAAAATACGGTTGCATAGGTTCCTAGGCAGGTTGATATCTCTGTCCTGGGTCTACGACTGAAAACACCTGCACAAGAACCCGAATGTGTTTTTGATCCATCTGTGTATTAAGGGAAATACATTCATTTATACTTTAACTTTTAACTCATTACCGATTGACCCACTCAAGAGTGCAAAGTCTATTGTGTTTATTGAACACAGCAAGAGATGAATTGGGGCGGCTGGACATTAAAATAACTTTTGGAGGTTGTATGACACGTAAAAACCTCGGCAGATATTGAAAAAATGGTGATTTGAACACAATTTATTGATGTTAATTACTTCTTTTTTATTGAAATCGTTTCTATTTCAAAGAATTTCAATCGCCTCCCTATCTATTCTTGAATGTAATTTTGAATTCTTCCAAGTACTTGTTTCTTCTTTGAGTGCATGTTCGGCTATAACTGATTTGTCATCATGCCAGGTATACTAATCTAAATGGCAAGAGTTGTTTCTTCATTATAAATACTAATACTACTACCAGGTTATATTATTTGCAAACTAAAGGGGAGGGTCTTATTACTTATTATATTACTTTTCATATCTGTAAAAAATAATGATCATATAATCATGAATTATTTGGGATTGATTTCAATTTTGTTTATTATCAACTGTTATTATCAACTTCAAATATGCTTCTAACACTTTCAATAAGTACCAGTTTCTCTACCACTCCTTTACATAATTTGAACATTTATTTGACTCTATTCACAATTAAAAACAACTTGTTTTATATAGGAGGTTCAAGAAGCCAGGGAAAATCTCACCGAATTAGGATTCAAATTCAAAGAAAAAACCAATTGAGGCATTACTGAAATGGACAGCATAGGTCAAACTGCATTTAAAAAATTTGAGACTGACTTGAGTTGTATAAAGTTGTATACAATTAACAGTTTTTAACTATTTGTTGTATCCTTATATTTAGTATGTTATATATATTGTTTCTATTGCTGTATTTTATTTACACTTTGTAATACAGTATCCTAGAAAATCTTTAGCTTATTATATTCAATTTACCCAAATACTATTGTTTTCCAGCAAATTGATCATTAAAAAACTAATATTATGTTCAACATTGTTTTATATATATATATATTTCATTCAGTAAATTAGACACCTTGATAAAAGATTAACTAGTCCATAAATGGAATTTTCATTGAATTAATTTTCACAAATGACTGTTAAACTTACATATTCCGTTCTAGTTTGCTCTCTAAACACTATGTTATTAAAAATTACATTCTTCAATCAATTTATAACTTGTTTCAACTACCAGGTCCTTTATTATTGTTATTTTCTGTTTTTACAAACCCGAAGTGAGGTTTTTTAATACATTGTATTTTTATGTAAAACCTTTACTAAGAAAATTATTTTTTCCAAAAAAATTGTTGCTGGTCAGGCTCTTGAAGCTCTAACCTGTGTGCCAACATCATTAGCTAATAATCACTCCTCAACTCATCATTGAATGATCATTAGGTCTGGGAATCATGTGTTCTGAGAAGACGGAAAACCAAGAATCACAACCTTCTGCATTTATCAGGGCATTAAAGGGTCGAAAAACCTGAATATTTATAATAGCAGCCCAAAAAATTATTCATTATATTCCCAGTTTTCAGTAGTAAAGAAACAAAAAATAAAAGTTTTAATACCTGCAATAGTTTAAGAAAATATTGAAAATGTCATGTCCATATAATTTTGCTTCCATTACTGAAATATAAATGTAACCAAAGTAAACGAAAGTGAGTTGATAATTAACACTAGAATAATGAAAATCTTTATTTATAAATGGCGAGTATAAATACAATTTTCACTTAAATAAGATCTCAAGAGAGAGATTTTTCTGGCTTGCAAGTACAATAAAGGGGATGCACGACTCTGCAATTGGGGTTGTGCACCAGAAAATTTTCTATTCCTTTTTTAGTAACACTAGTGAAAGTCAGATCTATCAGTTCTATTTCTAAATTTGCAAGGTAACCCAGGGTGATGTCTGTAACACGTCTATACCCCCTCAGAGACAATCGACGTAAACATATTTTTCTCTTCTGATGCCCTCGATCTAGATGTTCAATTATAAAGACATTTCTATCAGGGGAATCGATTCTGAAACAAAATTTAAACAATTTCAAAAAAGTATGTTGGATCTGATACACGTTACTTTTTCCCTCATGTGCAGCTCAAAAATATTTTGCTGGGAGGCCATTTTGACAACAAAGTTCTCATATCTCGTGTCTGAAAGAGTAATTTTCAACAGATTTATTCTTTACTATTTAATTCAACAATAGACATTGACAGTGGTGTAACGAGGAAGTAAAAAAAAATATAATGAAGAAAATTAACCGATGAAGTTACAATATGCCAATGACTCAGGAAAAAATTTACCGTTGAGAATATGTTGCACATGTGAAGAATGATGAGATTCGAATATTCCCTTCCACTCACTACTCTCAATGATTAAACAAGGGAACAAAGTTTTTGTTGCATGAAATATTATGACCAATATTACACATTTTCAGGGCATTTTTTTCAATATCAGTCCACCTTCTTATTCGTGGACCATTGAAAATTTCGCCTTTTAGTTTCTCTGTACTCGGATTATGAAATTTTTTAGAGATGTATTTAAAACAATCACCGTCCTTATTTAGAGTTTTGACAAATTGTTTTGTGAGCCCTAGTTTGTGGTTCATTTATTACATTCAGTTTTCCCGGAATCATAACTTGCCTGGAAGACCAGTCTTTTCAAACACAGTGCTGAGACTTGGCTCTGCTGTCCCACAGACAAATTTTGTATAGCCTTCTGGTTGTCCGAGCAAAAAATTAATCATTTTCAAATCTACACATATGAGCCACATGTGTTTGTGGTATTTAATTCCCACATAACAGAAGCCACAGTAGCATATTCTTGTTTTACTTCAGTTGAATCTGCTATCTGTAATGAACCCAGCTTTTTGCCTTTATGTACAAGCACACATTTCAGGCTACATTTAGAGGAATCAATTAATAACTGCCATTTATTCGGATAATATTTGTCTTTTCTCATTGCTTTTAATAAACCCGAAATATCTGCACAATAAACATCATTTTTGGAAAAAAATTGAAGTAAATCTATTCTGTACCGATAGTACGAAATTTTTGTTCCTTGAGTTGAAGGATTTTTTTGTTTTTATCAAGAAGCTAGAATCTCAGTTGTTGAAATCAAATGTTACACTTTCATCACTTGAAGAAGAGATTTTTTCATCTAAGTCTTGTAGATCAAGTTGCTTGTGGCACTGGCAAAAATAACAATCGTTCTGATTGTTTGAGGGATCATTGGTGTTCAATACTTGAAATGGAGTTTTTTCTTATCGTTAATCTCAGATTCCTCGCCTGTTTTACATACCATATAAGGCACCTAGTACTTGTTACAGGTGTAATCAAGATACAAGCGTTTTACGAACTCCGACACACTTCATCACAGATGTTACAGAATAGTTGGGATCGTTTTTACAGATATTTTTCAATGTAGGCATTGTAACAAAAAATTAATTTGTAAAACAATCACTCGATTTTATGAAAGTTAAGTGTAACTAGTACACAAAATGATAAATAGCTGTATCTCAAAAACTAGAGCTTTTGGAAAAAAGAGGAGGGTAGGTTTGAAATCAACGACCTCAAATTAGTAAACAACAGCCAAGATATTCCACACAACAATACGATTGAATTTTGTTCCTTTGGGTTATCATCTGATTATTGTTTTTAGTTATAAGCTTACTCATGTTTATATCGTAAAATGAATTAAAGACTGTTTTGCGTGCAGAAAGAATTCTGTAGACTTGAAATCTATGATTTAGTTTTACACTGGATCCTTTAATCGTGTTAGATATTTCATTTTATTCACTACCTAGATTATGAATCTTGAGTAGCTGATTTGGTAACATTTCTTGACAATTAAAAATATCCTTCTGAAAAAAATGCGGAGTTGCTTATTAGAACCAAATATATCAGAATTAATGTTATTGTGATGGACAATACAGTGTACAAAATTGCATTCAACATGTGAACACATTCCCTCCCAAATGTCGATTTGTTCTAGGGATTATGTCAACATGTACTATGTGTTTCTTTAGGGTTTCAAATGTTTAATGAAATTTGTTGAAACATTTTGGACCATGAAATTATTATTATTCCTAAACTCTAATTTTCTTTTACTTGAAAGCAAATCCTGTAGTTGCACAATTGTGAATTGATATCACCATTCAAGACATCATATGGAGACTATGTTTGAAGAATATTCAAACTTAATTCTAACACATAACAAACTCAAGTTTATTTAAAAATATCTCACCTTTGTGGTGATTCAGAAAGTTCTGCAGGTACTAGTTGTTTCTGATTTGGTGGACTATTTATCATTGAAGAGTCACTATCAGTGGTTGATAAATCGCTAGATGATTCTTGAGAGTCGTCAGAATAATTAACATATTCAGGACAAGAGGGTTCATCAACAACTTCATACATATTTGATAAATTCGCTCTAGTGGTTGATGTTGAACTGTGACCAAAATTATTGGCTGAATTTACAGGGATCCTAGAGCACTGAGGTTCACTAGGAGATGTTTGGTTTGTTTTTGAACATGAAGGACCACTGTCAGTAATTTTTGCAGAATCCGTTTTTGTTTGGGTTGAATTTGTTTTATATTTGGAATGCCAACACCTTCGATCTTTTTCTGGCTCCGAGTCACTATCTTCATCATCATCAAATGAGGTCATTTCTTTCGATTCATTTTGGGATGTTCTAGAATTATTCATTGAAACTGCGGAGGCTTTCTGTTTTGGGGGTACATTCTTGTTTTCCTGAAGATTCTCATTTTCATCGCTAAAATATTTGGAAAAAATACCAGATCTATTATAAATGCAAAACTTGTTACAGAAATGTTAGGTTAGGTTAGACTTTTGATTTTTCAATCACTTTAAAAAAAATAAGGTTCTCAACAATGTATACATATATTTTATGTATATGAATCAATAACTCCCCAGTAAAACAACTAACTTTGAAGTTCAAGTAACTTTCCCATAATATAAAGTGGCGCAAAAAATATGGCTATTCAAAAATTGTTATTTTTCATCTCTATTATAAACTCATTTATATGGTTATAAACTTCAAATGTATAGTTATTTTTTAAAATATCAAAAGATTTTTCACTTGTATCACTGGGTGTTGAAAAGTATTTGTGTTGAAAGTGAAAAAAGTATTTGATAGTCTAGCAAAAAGTCTTTAACCTTGCCTCAAGTACTTCAGAAGTCATTTTTGTCTAGAAAATCAAAAGCGTTTGATGATGTAACAACAAAAATAACTATATGCACTCAGTTGTCTATAGAAGTATCATATCCAAAAATAAATTTAAGGCTTTGTCCTAAACCAATTTCTTGAATATTATACTGGATCAGAGTATTTGTTAGTAATTCAAAATGTAATAATCAGTGCTTCATCTTGTAATGTTATCCAGATTGGTACTGAAGAGGCAAGTGGCTCATTCCAAAACATCGGATGTCCGCCATTGAGGATTACCATGTAAGTGAAATTTTACCTCTTTCATATACTATAGTGTATAGCAATCCTGCGCAATCCCATAACGAATGAGAATTAAAACTTCGTTTGTTTTTATACCACTTTCATTTGTAACTAACATTACTGCAGTTTCGTCCTACAAGCACATTACCAAATGTTTGAAAATGTAGGATGAGGTCTGAGAACAGAAAAAAGTCACTGGGGCAAGATCTAGAGAATACTGTAGATGCGGAAGCAATTCGAAGCCCAATTCATGCAAATTTGCCATCATTTTCATTGATTTATGGCATGGTACATTATCTTGATGAAACAGCACTTTCTTTTTTTCAAATGGGGCGTTTTTCCGCGATTTCGTGCTTCTAGCCCTTACACAAAATACTATTAATTTTAATAGCAAGAAGTTATTTAATTACCTTTCCATCAATTTAAGGCAAATACATAATGAAATCAAATTCAGAAAAAAGTAAAAGAATTCTTTGTAGTGAGACCCTATTACAGTGTGGACGAATTCTACCAAGGCTCTATCAANATTCTATCAAGGCTCTATCGAGTATTTGGCACGTAGTAGTATCTTTGTGTAAACAAGTTATTGAAATCAATCCGAAATGGCTATCAATTTTCATTTTGTAGCATTGTATATTTACATTTATTTTATACTCATATATTCATGTACTTATATTGGATCTGTTCAGCTGGGCTTAATATTGTTCTGTCCATATATGCTGCTCTTGTCCCTAAGCATTATTTCATAGCTAGTATTTTTTAATTAAATGTTCCATATACACGTTTTACTTTACTAGACTTTGCCAATAATATGTTCAAATCTTGGGTAATACAGCATATTTTGATTTGATTGAACTTGTTGTTTTAGGTCAATTGTGAGCTAGCGCGGCACCCACTTTGAACAGAGTTTTCGCATACCCAAATATTCATGCACGATATGACCAACGTGTTCCTTTGATATCTTCAGAGCCTCAGCTATGTCGATCAACTTCACTTTGCAGTCATTCAAAACTATTGTGTGGACTTTTTTGATGTTTTCGTCTGTAACAGCCTCTTTGGTGCATATATCGTCCTCGGTGTTCATTTCACCTTGTTTAAACTTTGCAAACCACTTCTCAAAGGTTGATTTTCCTCGTGCAAAGTCCAAACAATGTTTATCAAGCCAAGCTTTGGCTTAAACAGTTTTTTTTTTCGCCAAAAAGCAATGCTTTATCAACACACGAAATTCTTTTTTATTCATTCTCTTCAAACTAACAAAATTTGCTTCACTCAAAATGTTCTATCCCACAAACTAATAGTCCGACAGCTGTGAAATTTGTACATGTGTCTTCAAAAGGTCAGAGTTAACTAAGTATCACATGGATTCAATGCTAGTAGCGTCATCTGTGCGTTAGCCTACGAATTTTTCAGCCCATCTAGTACATACTGCATAGGAAAAAGTTTTTTTGTATAATTCAGTGCTCATATAGAAGCTGCCGTTTCGCTAGTATTTTTTCTTAAGTTTAATTCAATGTTTATGTAAAAGTAGTTGTTTCGAAAGGGCTCTTTCTTCCAGTGTATGCCTGAAAGTTACTTCTTTGCATCATCTATAATCTTTTTACAGAAGAAGTTTATTTTTTAAATCATTTGCTTTCTTTCTTTCTTTGGAAGATTCTAAAATTCTAATGAAATTGCTATAAATATTTTAGTGTGCTTAAATTATATAACAAACTGATGGATAGACATGGAATGCTTTGGGTACTTTCATCACCAGAAGAATGAGAATTACATTGAAAACTCAGGCATAATATAATTAAACACAATTGAATTTTCCTATGTTGAATATGTGAGAACTGTTATCATATTTCTGACATGTGGGAGAGATAATTTCGTTGGGACTTTTCAGAGACTGAATAACTGAAATGAATAATAAAACAAAATTTTTTAATGCCTGGTTGATTTCTGAATTGGATAACATCACCTTCTAGATATGTATATTAATTTCCGAGTATGCTTTTGTCAATATCAAGACTAGAAAAATATGAACAATTTTAGTATTTCAATATTTGGTGACTGACAGTGTTGAAAGGTCAAAAAATTATGACCAAAATTGAACATCATATGTTTTCTGATATTTATTGTTTTAAACCTGATATAAATAGTAACAAATATTTATCTCTTTATATCTATAGCAGAGGAAAGGTCCCTTCTCTTAAATTCCTTTGATTAAAATTGATTTTACACCCAAGGAACAACGACAAAATTGCATCCAGATCCAAATCAGTAAATTGTGAAGACTAAATAAACTTACTCTGAAGATATTTGCCTGTTGACAGGAGGCGGCATACCATTTTCTCCCATTATTCTCTCTATTCGGCTTTTCACCTCGTCAGCAGTCTCTAGTAACTGATTCACTATCATAGCTTGTGCTTCACTGCTAAGGCCATCTAAATCATACATTTCTTTCCTTCTAGCTTTTTTGTTCAATATGGAATCTGAATCACTGTCAGTATCATTGTCACTAGATGAATGTCTTCTTTTTATAGTATTTGAATTTTGTTTAGGGCTCCTACTAGTAGAGGCTCGATGAATATCATTATAATCACTAGTTCTGCAATAAGAACATTAATGTTATCTACTAGGATACCTAGATCCAATAGTTGAAATTCAATTAAAAAAATACATTAAAAATCCCTAATGAAACCATTCACAGAAAAATAATTAATGGTGATCTTGTCCGAGACTTTTTATTTCTTACATAATTGTGAAATTATTCATCATATAGACATCAAAATCCAAGCACATAATAAATATATTGAATATAATAACATTGCCTCTCTGAGTTTCTAAGTTCCAGTTGCAAATCGCCTCCTTCTCTTAGAGGATTCAGAACAATCACTCTGGGAGAAGCTTGATCTCTAGCTCCTTCTCTAGGAAGTGTCATTTCCTCCCTTCGGGATGGAGTTCGGTCATGTGTGCTTGGTATGATCATACTAGAACCCATCCCATAATAACAGCAACTGCCAGCTTCTTCATCATCAGAGCTAGAATCTGAAAGATTTGGTTCTGGAACTGAAAATAAAAAAATATTTAAATATATGTATATCTTACGAAAAATTACTGGTAAAGGTATAAAAGGTACAAAATGTTAATTTTATCTCAACATTCAAATAACATTTAGTCAAAGTAACGAGTAAAAACATTTCCCAAGAAAAAATCATTTTCAAAATATGCATGGAACAATCATACTCCAATGGAAATATTATTTCAACTGAAACTTCAAAACTGTTTCAATTTGTTAGTATCAGCAAACCCACAAAACACAAATGCTATTGAACACATGCAGGCTTAATTTTTTTGTTTTGGCCAGTTGGACAGAGTTCCACTAATGAAACTACATCTATTGTAAATGTGAATCTGATTCCCAGTTGATTTCCAGTTTGGGACTCATTGGGTGACCTGTAAGACACATTCTAAGCGAATATGTCATGAGGGTTGTTCAAAGCATTCACAGTGTAGCTTTTGTCCCCTGCTACAAACAACACATTAAATGATGAGACCTCATTGAACTTCTGCTCACACAAGCCTCCGGAAGACTTCAGAGGGTGACTCCCACAAATAACCCGTATATTTTACAATATATCAAATATTGATGTTTATCAAAAAAGTCTAGTGTCGACAACTTACTTCGTATAATGGCAATATAATAAGAAAAGAGTTTAAAACTACTGAAAAAAGTCTGCAATGTTTAGGTATGGAACCATATCTAAATGAACCTTCAAGCATTTAACAATAGAAATTATTTCCAAATGTTCATATTTGGAAACTGATAGGATAAAACTACAAGTTACCCAACGGCATTCATCCAAAATAAGGACCTGAAAAATAAATTGTGAAAATTATTAACTGACCAAATATACATTACAATATGAAAATATGCACCATAGCAAGAATGATGTCACAACTACAAAAACACTTACAAGGCAGTGAAAATAAAGTCCGCTTGATATCAAAGTCTACGTTTTTTAGAAAGGGTGATCAATACAGGTTTTTTGTGAGTTGTAATTTTTTTGCCAAGGTGCAATATATTTGTTATATCAAATCAAAATATTCAAAAGGGATAAGCAATTTTGCAAATAACTCGATAAATATATTCCTTACATGATGGAACTTCATCGGACTCTATTGAACCACAAGTACACTCTGGATAGGGATCTTTATAGAGTAGGCTATCGAATACTTTCTCAACTTCATCTGCTGCTTTACCGATCTTAGAGGCATACTCAAAAAGGTGCTTGTCTGAAATACTCATTGCAGTATTGGGATCAGGAGGATTTTTTTTAAATCCACTTTCAGAATCGATTATTTTCTCATTATAATCTACTTCTGCAGATTTAAAACTTTGGAAGTAAAGTCTCTGCAAAGCTTCTTTATTGTAAAATGTACGAAGCAGTTCTCCACCAATACCTTGAAAATATAGTAAATTTAGCATATTGTAATTATTTCTGTTAGGAGAACCACCTGTGAATCTGCAGTCAAAAACCTTCAACTTCTTACAACCAAACTTAGCAATGTTTAGGTATGGAACCATATCTAAATGAACCTTCAAGCATTTAACAATAGAAATTATTTCCAAATGTTCATATTTGGTAGGAAAAAATCTTTGAAAGTGGTCGGCATACTCATCATGTCTTTCATGTGTTTATTGCAAACAAAACTGGATTCTACTTTATACCGTGGTATATGTACCAAATCATCATCAAAGAAATCTATTTCCGGATCTGAAAAAAAAAAGTTTTGTAAACAATGTACCAAGTGTTCTGTTTATTCTGAAGAAGTAAAGTTGTCAAGAGCTAAATTTACAGCAGTTCTGAAAATCACATACATTAAAAGTAGTAATGAAAAAATGTTGAAAGAGAGAAGAAGGAATAAAAAAAGATTAAGTCAATTTTTTTCAATAATCTCTTTCTCTGTTAGATTCAGGAATACTATTATAAATTTTTGATTTTTAGAACTTAAAAAAAAATCATTGACTCNGGCAATGTTTAGGTATGGAACCATATCTAAATGAACCTTCAAGCATTTAACAATAGAAATTATTTCCAAATGTTCATATTTGGAAACTGATAGGATAAAACTACAAGTTACCCAACGGCATTCATCCAAAATAAGGACCTGAAAAATAAATTGTGAAAGTTATTAACTGACCAAATATACATTACAATATGAAAATATGCACCATAGCAAGAATGATGTCACAACTACAAAAACACTTACAAGGCAGTGAAAATAAAGTCCGCTTGATATCAAAGTCTACGTTTTTTAGAAAGGGTGATCAATACAGGTTTTTTGTGAGTTGTAATTTTTTTGCCAAGGTGCAATATATTTGTTTTATCAAATCTAAATAAATTTGAATTTCACAACCACATTAGACTTTTCTGGTATAAGAATAATAGGGAAAAATAAAGCATACCCTAAGTTTATTCAGATTTCTTACAGAATGCTGAAAAAAATAAGTTGAGTTCTTCACATATGTTCTTTTGAGGCTCAATTCCTCTAAGCCGGGGGGAAAATCTTTCAAGGCTACCTGAAACAAAACAGGTATTGGATTTATTTTCATTCCAGTGGAAATGCAATTCATTGAAAGTATTGAAAATTGAATGTCATAATCTGTATAAACCTGAAGATTTTGAATTTCAATGTGGATTGCACTAATATTGACATCATATTTCAATCAGAATTTCATAATCATAAGAATTCAAGAATATCTGTTAATGACCAAAACCAATTCCTTTTTTATTCACATTACATGAAGTCTCAAGATCATCAGGTTAGTTAATTAAAATAAATATAATTAGTTGCATTTATTTATTTCAATTAATAAGACAGAAATGAAGATTATTGATTCATCAGATCCCTAAAGCAGTTCCGAATTGCAAAAAATAAAAGTGAGTAGAGCTAGTAACGACCTCATTAGTAAAGTATTGCTTGGTATCAAAAAGTACCAAACTTTGCAAAGGCTGCTGTAATATATATTTTTATAGTTGAACAATACATTTCAATGACGATGAGATATACTCAACTGAGTAATTTCATTTTTCGATATATCTCATTTCATCTTTGTTGTGGAACCTCTGGGTACCTAAGTAAAACTGATTATTCTTAACACGTTCAGCACCATGTGCCCACTAGTAGGCAATATTACGTGAAATTGCATGGCCACCTGTGGAAATTGTGAGTTTGCTCATTCAGCGCCATGTGCACACCTGTGGATACAGACCAGGCAGTTTAAATTTTTTCAGAATTGTTTTTTTTTCTTGCAAAATTTATTAACGAAAAATAACTAGTTTTGGGGAAAGAAAGGTTTTGGCTTTCTACTTCTCCATCTTTGTACAAAAAAAATTCGTAAATTTCACAAAGAGCGTTTTTTTCGAGACTATTTTTAAGATTTGATAATATCCGAAGTTGACATTTTTTTCTAAAACCATGTTGCTGGACATTGTTGCTATTATGAACAATGGAACATCCTATTGGTTTGTCAATATTATTTTCTATTTTCTGTTTAACTTTTTTTTTATACATTGCATTCATTATGAAGATCTTTTATATAATTCAGAAGAGGTTTTGGTAAATTTATCATTATAACAGTGGCATATTCTTTTTGAAGAAAAAATCCATTACTCCTACAAGTTTATTTGAAATTTTTTTACTATATTTAGGAATGTCATTGAGAGTAGTTTCTGGAGTTAGGATATTCACTGATGACAGTCTATATACAAATATATCAGTCTCCTGGCAGACTTAAGGTTAGCTACTTTGTATTCGGTTGCTGAACGACATGAAAAAACAGAAACTGGGCCCAAAAAATGTAGCTGAAGAGACTATAAAAGTTGAGGCACATAAAAACAAATGATTTGAATTGCATTCAATTTAAATGATTTTAGATGACTGGTATTTTTCAAACAAACCAATCATGTCGTTTTCTATTGTGATGTTAGTAAATTGATAGATGTAGCCATTACTATGTGGTAGGAGATCATCATGAAAAAAGAGAAATGAAAATTTCTTTTTTTACCACCTTTATTTTTGAGTAACTTTACTGCCGTTAAGTTCTATAAGGATATTTTAATGAATAAGTTTGAAAATGTTCTTATAGCACAAAAGTGCAGTAACTTTCGTTACAAATAAAAGTGGTAAAAAGCATAGAAATTTTCATTTTTCATGATGTTAGTATTTTGAATAATTGGAAATAAAGCCTACGTTAACACAATTCATAAATAGATTTTTATTACTTTTACTATCTTGATATTCTCTAAGCATCCATGTCACTTTATAGGCAAGGGATAATTATAGTACAGGAGAGATATAACATTTTCATTGTGTTCCATTCATCTTATTAGAGTCCAAATTTTATTATTTATTACCACTATAAACTTAGATCATTTATGAGTAGTCAGTCACAGATAAATGACTATTAGACTGCAGTACTGTTCTTAATATTAAATACAAGCAAACACATATTTTAATATATATCTTATTGGAATGCTACTAGATATATATTATAACTCTCCATCCAGTGCCAAATTAATATAATATTATACTGTGTTAGAAATCACATGTTAAAAGGTAAGGCCTCGTTAGTCCTCAGCTCGCACATGTTTCTAAGATTGTACCTTTGAACCTTGAAGTTTCACATTCTCTAATGCAAGGACTGTAATATTTCCAAAAGATTTTATTTGTTCGAAAAAGGCAATGGGAAAACCAAATAAGTTCAAATTTCCACGTAAAAGAAGATGAGTTGTCCTTTCGTGCACCCTATTTGTGCAATACTGAATCTTCTCCAAAGTATTAGGTTCTTCCCTAGCGTCTATATAACGCCAAAAAGAAGGATCTTCGATGATGTCTCTGAGGTAGTTGCAGGTTCTACAAAACAATATTTTGATTTTTCGATTCGAATATAATAGTGTTAACAGATTACTGGCTCAAATGATAAAGAGATGTTGAATCCACATAGGAAAACAATGTAGTAAGTACATAGTGTGGCAACTCTAATATTTTACAAGGTCCTTCACAATATTCTCCTTCAACCCCCATATTTTATAAATTATATTATGAGTAAGTATTGAAACCCAATTCACACTATTACTCAATAAATAAAATTTGTTTACTATTTCAAACAATAATACAAATTAAAGGTTTGTTCTGGTTCTAACATCCGAAACTGTTTGGAAACTGCGCAAGACAAGATAGGTTTGTTCTGGTTCTACGAAATTCAGGTTCTACGACGTCAGGATCATGCGCAATTGACATAGAGCGTTCTGGTTTCGACTGCAAAATGATCCTAAACTGTTTGGAAACTGCGCAAGACATGGTGCGTACAAACAAAAAATCTCAAACAGTCTGAAATAGTCTCGGCACAGATTAAATATTATATTTAATTCAATAATATTTAATCTGTGGTCTCCGACACTTGTTTCAACCAGAACGCTTTTGAGGAGACCACTGTGCAACCTATCCTATATATGAAGAGATGAAGACGAGAAAATACTATTAATCATGTCCATTTTGTTATGTAGCGTATCCCTATAATCAGTTCAAATGTTATCTACCCTCAATCATCAATTATTCAAATCAAATGAATAAAAAAACATCTTAGCAAATAGCCCAAACAAATTTCCACACTAATGCGCATGAGCAACGGGAACAGTTCTCAACAGTTCAGCCTCGAGAGCAAGAACGAATCGGGACGGTTCAAAACAGTTTAGGATCATTTCGCAGTCGAAACCAGAACAGGGGATTCATCAGTCTGAAATTATCCTCAATAAACCAGAATGCTCTATATCAACCGCGCATGATCCTGACTTCCTAGAACCTGAATTTCGTAGAACCAGAACAAACCTATTGTCTCCAGACTGAACTGTTGAGAACTGATCCTGTTGCTCATGCGCATTTATGTGAAAATTTGTTTGGGCTATTTGCTAGAATGTTTTTTCATTTATTTGATTTGAATAATTGGTGATTGAGGTTAGATAGCATTTGAACTGACTATAAGGATACGCTACATAACAAAATGGACATGATCAATAGTATCTTCTCGTCTTCTTCTCTTCGTGTATCTTCATATAATAATATACGATAGGTGGCACAGCGGTCTCCTCAAAAGCGTTCTGGTTCAAACAAGTGTCCGAGACTATTTCGGACTGTTCGAGATTTTTTGCTTATACGCATCATGTCCTGCGCTGTTTCCAAACAGTTTCAGATGTTAGAACCAGAACAAACCTAAAGATTTGTTCTGGTTATACAAAATTCAGGTTCTAAGACGTCAGGATCATGCACAGTTGATATAGAGCGTTCTGGTTTATCAAGAATAATTTCGGACTGACTCTGTTCTGGTTTCGACTGCGAAATGATCCTAAACTGTTTTGAACCGTCCCGAATCGTTCTTGCTCTCGAGGCTGAACTGTTGAGAACTGTTCCCGTTGCTCATGCGCATTCATGTGGAAATTTGTTTGGGCTATTTGCTAGAATGTTTTTTTATTTATTTGATTTGAATAATTGATGATTGAGGGTAGATATAGATAAATCTACCTCACAATCTGAAGACACATCAGCAAGCCACATTTATTGCAAATTTAATTAATTTGATGGCACAAGTAAGAAGGAAAAGTACCCTATTCTTTCATCCTTGTTTTCAGAGAAACCAATTTGAAATTTTTACTTTTGTCTAAATCTCAAAAACCCCGTATAAATACCGAAATAGTTACTTTCAAATTGCGAAGAAATAAACAAAACCAAAGAGAAACGTTCTAAAAACGTGTTCCTTGATGAGCGTGATAGTGGACGGACGTGCCAATAACGTCGGTCCACAAAGAAGATACGAGGATGCCATGTGCTACCGTGGGGCTTTTTTTGTATTGTAATTGTCCATTGTGTGATTTCATCAATGAGAAGCAACGGCCATGATCAATAGAGAAAGAAAAATACGTTTCAAATCTCAAAATAATCTGCAGTTGTCGGTTTCAAAGATTGGTCAAGCCACCAACGATTTCGAATCTTATAGTTGAATCCAATATGATTGCAATATACTTCTTTCTGTCTATTGCATATCCGTCATTCTTCATTTCGCGCATATGCTTTTCAGTTGCATAGAAAAGCCTGGGAATTAATCTACATCACCATTTTGATAAGAGAGTATCCGTTGATCAAGTTATCTCGTCTAATAAAAAAAATATTCGAAGAATAAGTTCGACAGAGCTGTACTCTTACCATCTGACCTGAAGGAACACTCACGATACAAACTAATCACAATAAACCCTTGCGAGTTGCGGTGAAGGGTCGAATAGACTCACTCACTTTGGACCTAATCTAACGACCACCATAGAAAATGAAAATGATACGGAAATATCTTGTGAAAATATGTTGAGTGAAAAGTGGATCGCGCTCCTAATGTTTTTTTATTGGCAATGACTAATTGTCTAATTGACATCATTGAGAGTATGAGGTTTAAGTTCCACTGTGGTATGAGGCGTTTTCTGGCGCTCATGTATTCAAAAAACGTATTCGTCTGTGATTCAAATACATTCATTCTGGCGTTGAAACGATGTCGTCACATCAACTATGATTTGAAACGTATTCATGAAACCGAATTTTACGTTATGTTACGTCAGTTGTCAGTTTCTGCTTTATTTTGATCGTTATATTTTATGAAGTGTTGAAATGTTTTATCAAATACTAGTACTATGTTGCTGTATCGCTGCTGTTCCAATGTTTTGACAGAATCAGAATCAACGACCTAAGGCGTGCGCAGCGTTATAGAACAGTGCTTTCAAAAAAATGTTCTACAGCGCCATCTAGTGGCGAGTTACAGAAAAATTGATAGCCTAAAAACCTTCTCTATGAAAAGTTACTTATACATATCAAGTTTTATCACGATCGGTTGAGCGATGTAGAAGTTTATCACTTACCATCCAACCAACCAACAAACATCCATTTTTTTATATTAGATGTTGTAAGGATGCACAAATCCGATTCTAATTGAGGTTAGAGAAAATTGAAAAGTTAGTTTTTATTATTGAATTTGACATTAGACACAAATTGAAACACTCCATTCTGGCGAATTTTATTATTAATGACGTCACTACGAATCGTTTGTGAATACACGGTCGAATGCGATTAAACGCCAGAGTACAGTAGAAAGCTAAAGCTTTATTTCAGAGTTATAATAAGACATAGAGCTGCCATGCCTATACCAATACAATACATGTATTTTGAAGCTGGTATCGTACTATCATTTTCTGTACAATTTTTGGTGAGGGCTTGGGTGGCGGGTAATGAAGGGTTACGGAGAGTTTGTTTACATTTGAAGTAAGTTGCACTATAAAACAGTGGCGGTTTCTCTATTGTCTTTTGTTACTCTGAGAGCTTTATTGTGGTATGAGACTTATGAGAGTGACAATTGAAGAAAATTGAGGTTAAATTAACTAAATTGAAATGAAGTTGTTTGTTATCATTTGATTTGTTCGAAAGATTTTGAATTTAATAGCCACAAATTTCATTTTTACATACTTAATATGATGTACAAAGGACTCCGAAAATTTATTTTTGATAATGCATACCTATTTTTGGGTATAATAATAGGGTTTTATTTCTCTTCAATGCTTTCCACACCTTTGGAAAATACATGTAATAATCTGGGAAAAATGAAAAATGATACTGTCCAAGAAATTATAAATTCTTCTGTAAATAAATTCGCAAGTAATATTACTAAGAAAACTAATAGTGATTCTAAGAAGTCCAAATTAGTAAGGCCAAGATATTATTCCACAGAATTGGAAATGAGAGAAAAGCTTTTAGTTGGAATATTCACCTCCGAGGAGAAAATCAATACTCAGGCTGTGCATATCAACAAAACTATTGGCCATTTAGTTGATAAAATAAAATTTTTCATTACTGCCCAATATAAACTGAAAACAAAGTTCAACTTGACTGGTGTAGTAGGTTTCACTGATGCGAGATATAAATACAGACCATTTCAAGTAATGAAATATATTGGCGATATGTTTGGCCAAGATTATGATTATTACTTTTTTGCCAATGATTACACATTTATTAATGGGTATAAGCTGAAAGACGTAATAAGAAAAATAAGTGTAAGCATGGATGTTTATTTGGGTGTTAGAGTGAAGGAAAGCAGCTTCTGCAGTTTAGGTATAGTTATATTATTCAAATCATTGGAAGGTGTTCAAAATGTGTACTTGATTGTTACCATACTAAAATGCTTGTGTAGTGTTATTATTCAAAAAATCATTCACTACAAATACTTCATAGACAGTAGGTTATATGCAATATGGTTAAATGATAGCAAATAGAAATTTCATTAACATCAAAAAAAGTAAATCACATTCGATTATTTTCTATTTTTTTGTATTGTAGTGTAACCATAGTACTTTGAAAAAGAACAAGCATTTGAAAAACAGACTAACATATATTTTTGTCAAATTATTTTCTCTTTAAGTGTTATCCTGTCCAATTCCATGCAATGAATTAGCTTATTTTTAAATCACTCTAGCTTTCTACAGTTGAAATGCAATAGCACAAAGGGAGCAGTTGATAAGCTGTTGAAACTATTTTTAGAGAATAAAATGATAGCTTAGTTATTCCATTTCTCTCCACAAATACCGCTGGTAATGTATTTTTTTATATTTTAAATGATTATGTAGAAAAAAGCTATACATTCTGGACACACTCTGTTGCATGTATTTACAAGGTTATTTTGGGTTATAATTGAACAATAATTTTATATCACTCTTTATATAAAGTTGAGAATCTTAGCAACTGGAGAAATGTACAGTAAAATGGAATAACGTGGCCTCTCAGTCAAAAAATAAAAAATCAAAACTCTGCTTTACTTTGCCAAGCTTTTGCTTCTAGTGGGAAAGCTTCTTCAGGGCCTATAATTTATTGAGTTGTGGTTTTTTTTGCCAATGAAGAAAATTACAAATCATACTTACAGTAAAAATGAGTAAAAAACAATTAATTGAACATATAAATCGACGAAAAAAGTTGAATATTAATGGAGTATTTTGGTTTGACAAATGTCATACCTTCACATAAATGTTATTTTTCAATGGGCATAATGATTTGATAATCTTTGACTCTAAAGGGAAAGTTGATTGATACAATTTTCATTATTATCAATATGATTTTTGGTGTAGTTCCAGTAAGTTACTGTATATACTGCTGAGATTATCAATGTCAGTTCTCTTATTCATACAATTAGAAGACTTATTAATTTCAACCATTTAAAAAAAGGCGTTTGGAAATATTTTTTTCTGTATGTAAAACTTTGATATTAGAGTAATTTGGTTTATGTCCTGTTTCTATAGAATGTTATGCTAATGCACATGATTTCTAATTAAGCTTTATATCACTTTTACGTGAAATTATTCTATTGACAACATCAAGAATTTTATGAGATTTGTCATAAGGTATTGCACAAATGATATCATCAACGTATTTCTTTAAAAAAGGAATTTCAAAACTCGGTTTAGGAAGTATGTTTTCGAAAAGATCGTCCATTACGTAATGAGCTATAATAGGAGAAATCAGTTAAAATCAATTTAATACTCTGTTTGAAAAAGAGAATAGAAAAATTAGTACACCCTTTCTTCAAGCAAAAAAATCTCAAACTTCTTAGAGACATANATATATATCAACAAAATTATTGATATGCTTCTTGATAATTTTACATGTTTATTTCAGATTCAGGTATAATCTTGAGCAACTCTGTGTTGAAGGCAATGAGAAATCACTTGGATTGGTGTATCATGAATGCAGTCTCTGAAGATCATAGTGAAAACATTGGTAGATGTGTTTACCATAGTATCGGTCTTTCATGTCAGGAAGCTGTCCAGTTAGAAATTTTACCTTCTTTCAAACTCAAACATTTTGAACTTAGTTCACATCTTTTGGAACTCACGCATAGAGATGACTTCAACAAAGCTGTAACAATCTATCCTGTTTTACAAAAGGATGATTATTTCATGTTGAATGCTTATTTTCTAAAGGTATTTTTTCTGAATATAGGAAGATATGAAAGTAATGTTTTATTTTAGCAACGATTAGCAGCATTAAATGAAGATATTTCTGAAAATTCCAAAACACTTGATGATTCGTGGCCTCCAGGACAAAGAGGAGGTTCAAAACCAGCCACTCGTTTTGATTTACCGAAGCAGTATTATTTCAATATTTCTAAACATCATCAAGAGACAGGACACAGCATAAACTTTGCGGACACTAAGGCGATCGCCACAGAAAAATAGCGTAAGAGCACTTTTTGCTCTTGCGTTTTTTTGCTGTGCTCCATTGTTGATTCAGGAACAATGAAAAAGTTTTTGAGAAGAGGAGAACTAAAAAACGTTTCATAATATCTGAAGATACAGAAATTGGCGTTTTAGCCTACTTTGAGGTAAATCCCAATAATTTCATCAGAGATTTATATATAAGTTAAGACCAGTGCAAACATTGGAACCTGGTGACCCTGAAAGATGATTGGGATTTTGTCGGTGGTTTATGAATAAATGCAGACAAGATCCAAACTTCCATAGAAATATTATATGAAGCGATGAGGTTAATTTTTCAAATTGTGGGATGTATAATAGAAATCATTTTCATTATTGGAGTAGACATAATCCATTTCTAATTCATCCCCAAAATCTGCAAAGACGATTTAGTAATAATATTTGGTGTGGTCTATTTAGAGGCAATCCATTTTTCTACCATGGTTCTTTGAATGGACCCCGTTACATTAATTTATTAACAAGAGTTTTGGAAGAGTTTTTCGTTAATCTGGATCTGGAGGCTCGTCAGATGATCTATTTTCAGTAGGATGGAGCATCACCACATAATTTCAGTGTGCGAGACTGTTTTGAAAACAGATATATTGCTACAAATGTTCCTGTTAAGTGGCCCCCTCGTTCACCAGTCATGATACCTCTAGATTTTCATTTCTGGGGATTTCTGAAAAGTGAGGTGTACAAAATAAAACGTAATAATGTAGATGAACTGAAAAATGATATTAAAACTATGGGTTACTTGGTACATTTGATGGCCGAATTGTGTTGAAAACAACACGTAGTGTCAAGAGAAGGGCCCAAATATGTGTTCAACAAGAAGGTGGTGTTTTTTAATATTTACTTGATACTTTATAGCCCTTTATTCGCCAAAACAAAAAATTTTTTGTACCAGTGAAAGAAAGAAATATTTCCACATAAGTTGCTTGTTTTCAACTTTAAGAAGACATGTGATACAAGCTTTGTTGTTGAGAATGTTATTATGAATTGAAATGCATGATAAAGAAAACGCGACTTTTAATTTTCTATATGCTATGCTTTTTTTTTTTGTACCTTGGGAGCTGTCTGACTTGTCCAAGTCCCAAGTCTCCAGAGAACACTGCAGCCTCTTGGGCTTATTGCGTTTATTCTCCCATCTTCTCATGACACCCATTCCATCAGTCTCGTTCCCTGTAGTAGTTTGTACAGGTTCCGTGTTGGATGTTTGTAATATTCTTCTGGGCTTAATTTTGTACGTCCATATATTGCCTGCCTCCTGTGATTCCGTGCCTCACATTCGCATAAGATGTGTAGAGCTGTTTCTATCCCTTCGTTGCATAATCTGCAGCTGAGGTCTCCGTTGTACAGCCCCAATATGCTATGCTTATTATTGGTTGTTTGAAAAGATTCGACGGTTTTAGTGTCATGTGCTTTTGTGGGTCCATATCTAAATAAATATTCATTCTACTGTGTCATGGTATATACTTATCAATAGAGAATTTTGTTCATTACTATATGAGAATTTTGTACTGCATACATTGATGAAGTATATTTTTTTCCAAATTTTTATTTTTCCCCTCTTTTCAGCTTATTAGTATATGATGTCGTTAAGCTATATTCAGCCAATTTTTCTTTACAAATTTAGATTGAACCAAAGCGCTGTCAAAATAGCCCGAAAAATCAACTAGACATTTGGCAATGATAGTGTTAATGTACGCACTGGACGAGGATTTAAGGACCCTGGTGGAGACTGACCCGTCATAAATGGTGCGTTGGATAGCGGAAAAACTGGTCGTCAGCTGCCGTTTTTGGTGGTTTGAAACGTATTGGAAAGGTCAATAAGGATTTGAATGATTGACATAAATTGTCACGTTTCATTTTTGTGATGAAAAGTGGATTACTGTATAGTGGTCAGCAGATGGTGTGAATCACTATATCTTTCTGCAACCAGGCCAAACTTTGAGAAAAGTATTGTCATAATTCTAGTGTATGGAAATACTATTTTCATTAGATTAATTATGTGTGATAAGGCTCCAATTTTATATAATAATAAATTCAACATTAAAATCATAATTTCTCCATCATAACTAGAGAACAATACAGTAACAAGGGAAATTCGTTTAACCCATAGAATATAACTCAAAGTTTCCATTGATCCATAACATTTTATATTATTGAATAACCAAATCGGAGAGCAAACAGTGGATCTCTGCAGAAAACTTGGGGTGTGATTTGTAAATTCACTCTGAAAATGATTGATAAAACAATGTATTTATTAGTACTTGTGAATCACCTAGAATATTTAGTGGTTACTGTTTTTATAGAATATTATTGAAGAAGTGAAATCAAAAGTAACCAATACATACCCTAAAGATCTGCAGTACAAGAAGCTTGTAAATGGCTACAAAACTTTCGACTTGAGCAGAGGTATGGATTATACATTAGATTTGGCCTTCAGAGATCTGAATAATGGAAAGGAAGTAATAAAAAGGTGAGTGTTGTGAGATTATTTTCATGGCTGAATCTGTGGTTATTAATTATTTTCATTGTTTATTAGATTCGAAATATGTAAACCTCTGGGAAACACAGAATTCATTCCAGTACCATATGTAACAGAAGGCACCAGAGTGAATATTGTACTCTCTATTCAAGAATCAGAATTGTTACTAGCAATGGAGTTCTTGGCAAGTTACACCCGACTTGTAATGGAATCAAAGGAAAAAACATTTCTCATGCTCGTCCTGCTATACCAATACAATAGTGCTAGTCGAGGATCTGCCGATGTTTTTGCAGATATAAAGAATTTTGCCACAAAGGCTACAAGTAAATATAAAAACGATGATACAAAAATTGCCTGGTTATCGATACGGCTTCCGGAAGTTTCAAATCCTTTATTCATTGAAGAAAATCGGGCACTGAATTTTGCAGTTGTTGATTTAGCCCTAAAAAAAATTGGCCTTGATAGTTTGACACTGATTTTGGATGTTTATTGCAATATTACAATTGATTTTCTGAATAGGGTAGGTTTTCAGAAAATTTGCTTGTTTTCATTAAGATTGTTTTTGGTTTCACTCAAGGAATAACAATTTGTGTAATATCTCCTTATATGATAAACATTTATTTATTGCGAAAAGTATATTAAAAATGTTAATGTATTGTTTTAGGTGCGAATGAATACTATACCAAATTTCCAAATATTTAGTCCTATACCATTTCGTCAGTATAATCCAAAGATTTCACAAAATGCAAATCTTGAGGTCAATAAAAACAATGGACACTTTGATAGAGAGGAATATAAATATATTTCTTTTTATGGAAGAGATTATGTTTTTGGTAAGTTGAAAAATGAAACGCCACTTTTTTCAATATTACAGTATTATCATGTAGTTCTTAGTTATAATTTAAATCAAAATATTTTTCAGCCAGAAAAAAGTATCAACATTTTATGCCTCTAGTGAGAATTGACAATGACATTGGTAATATTATAGATGAAGATCACAAAAATGTCGGTAACATTTTCAACATGTTCATAAAATTTAATGACAAACTCCACTGTTTGAGGGCACCAGAAATGAATTTGAAGATCAAATATCACGAAGAAATGGACCTCGAAAAACATAATTATTTCTTGGGCAATGAAGCCCAACTAGCTAAAATTATTCTTACGAAACAAAATCAAATTTCTGAAATATATTGAGTTTTAAATTCATTATATTCAAAGATTCATTCATTAAATGTTTATTTTACCAAATCGTAGAATTCATTTTAAAGTTATTTTTCCTCAACTGGAATGGTCCAAATTGCTGCTGAAGCCCCTAATAAAAACATCGCATTCAGTATTAGTTATTTGACCAAAATGTATGTTATGACTAGAACTCCTATATATTTCTTGTATTGTAGTTATTTTACAAAATGCATACTATTATAAAGTAGAATAATAAAAATAAAAACTCCATCGAATGGCAAGCAGGGCAAATATTCAGTTCCTTTAACAGTAACACTACTAAAAAGAGGTGGCAGTTGAATTTTATATTCTGAGCTATAAATAAAACAATGAAAACACTTTGCTTGAAAAGTAATAGAATTCATATCCAAATTCTTAAATGTAATTCTCAGAACCAAAAATTCAATAGATTTGAATTTCGTTCACTATTTTTGATATTGAAATCGACAAGAGTGGACAACTTCAAGTTCAAATATGTATTTAGGTATAGAATTAAATGAAATCCTTAGGAGTCAAGTAAAATTTTTATACAAATATATTTTTTATAGAAAAAGTTCATACCATTTACATTTAAAGATTTGATTTTCTTTTTCCTTTTTTGAAAGTTTTCGTCACCAAAAAAAATCTCTTTTCATTTACTTGCAACTGAAATCTTTTCACTAATACATTTTTAATAGACATCTCCTTAAGACGTCAACTTCGTTGAAGAAACGCAACGAAAAAAGTCGTAGAAAAAAATCTTTGAAAATATGAAAGTAATTATGTAGCTATTCCAGCAAAATTCGTACCACCTTAGAATTATTAAGTGTCTTATTTTATCAGTTAAGTTATATTGTGTATTATTTGCTAAGCACGAAGAAATGAAATTTTACTAAGAGAGCGTGTCTAGGTCTACTGTGCATCCAAATAGTGTTGGGTGAGGAGATTTTTTAAGTTGCGGAAAATTTAGACGAAAGGTGCTCCCGAGCAAAAACAGATACCGTAAGCAGATATGACTCAGTAGCATTCGCAAAATGGAAAAAGGTGATCCATTTTAGGTTACACAATGTCTTTTGATCAACTTCTGAAAAAATACTTACTTCTTTGAAAGTTTTATTAATAAGGACGATAATTATTCAGTGGGGGCGCTAAAATTTGTCATGAATTCTCGGCTGTTCAGATTGAAAGTAAGTAATTTCTTTGTTGAATTGTTCGAATTACGAGTATTCTTATCATTATATTATTATGATTTTACAGCGTTGAATGAATGAAATGGCTAAAATGGTGGCAGCCTTTCATTTGGGAGAATAAAGTATCACATATCTTCTGTTATGTATGCGATCGATGCTCAAAACTGATAGTGTAACCAGAGGCAGCGTAAGGCGTGGACGGTGTAGGCAACTGCCAACGGCCTCAAAGCCGAAAATAAGTTTTAAGAAATCCAAAAGTACATGCCATGATTTTTTTTATAATTAATACATTAGAAAATTCTCAACCTAAAGATAAGAGTATTGCACTGTTCGGCGTACAAAAGCATATGAATGAAAAAATCGTGAATATATTTGTTTTTCTGATAAACTATATTACATTATCAAATTAATGAATAAAAAATTTCTCATCTTTATTAACGCGTGTCAATACCATCAGAAAATTATAGCAATCTGTCCATTTAAGCATTACTCTTGAACATTTGGCGTACATTTTGTGACTAGATCAAAGAATATCGACAAACTGGATTCCAAAAGTGCTTGTCTGACACTTGTCAGTTTATTGAAAAAAGCAGTTATGATTTGGCAAAATATTTCAATAATAAATGGATGTTTGAAGGCAGCGATCAACCTATATACAGTCTGCCAAAAACCGGTATGAAACAAAATTTTTTAATACCATGATTGATTCTGTGATAAGCAATATGCATTCGAGATTTATATCAACACTTTAAAAATTTTGGTTTTCTCTAAGACTCAAAAAAGTTGAAAAAACACCCAAATGAGTAAATACTGAAAAACTCTCAAGATCTACAAACTGTCCTGCAAGTAGGTGAGAGCAGTGACTTCCACCCTTACGAGTTATATGAAGAATTACAAAATAATATTCCAAATTCACCAAACTCCATTGAAGACAGGAAATATCTGCTCCAATATATTATAAAGAATGATTTGAAAGAAATTTACCCAATTTACCTGTAAGTATACTGCCTCCGCTGAAAAGAGCTTTTCAAAATTAAAAACAAAAAATTATTTAAGAAATACAATGGGTCAAGAAAGACTTTCAGCTTTGGTAATTTTATCCATTGAAGCAGATTATAGCATCAAAGATAAAATACGAACCAATAATTAGGAAGTTAAGTAAAACCAAAAGTAGACAATTTTTGTTTCTTTAATTCTTTTTTTTTCCATTTCGAACCTCCAACTCGAAAAAAGGTATGTTATAAGTTTGACTTGTGCATCATTATGTCTGTTTGTCTGTCTGTGGCACTGTAGCTCCTATACTTGTAGATCGATTTTGTTGCGGTTTTTTTTATTAGACAGCTAGTTTTTTCGTTTTGGTTCTCAGATATGTTTCATGAAGATCGCTCCAATTGTTTAAATGTTATCAGCTCATTTCCAAGATTATAAAGAGGAATTATGCATTCAATAATGGTTATTTGATTAACACAACATCCACTTGATTGATCGAAATATAAATTCGACATTTTTAAGAATATGTGCAATAACATCAACTTTGACTCATTTTAAAGGTCTCAATGAGTAAATATCGGCAGTGTTAGTGACTTTGATACGGCGACCAAGACATGATGTTTTTTATTACTTTCGAGTCGTTTTTTTATTTTGTTGTTTAATGTTCCAAAATAGAACATTAGTAAATTTTGGAAAGTGTTTGTCAATAAATGAACAATTTCAAGTGTTTTTTTACTTTATAAACCCTTTTTCTTGCACCTTCAGACGGGCTTGAGAAATGTACCTTACCCACATTAAATTTAGGTCTTGCGCTGCTACTAAGTGCAACTATATAATAGTATCATTTGAGCTGCAGGTATTTTACATTATTTGAAGATATGTCGTTTTGTAAATAAAAAAATTAACAAATGATGATTATGATGACAATTACAAAAACACTGACCAACAGGTTTGACCAACATATCATTTGTGACAGCTTCCACAGTTCAATTTGTATACTATATTGGACTGTATGTCTTGAGATACTTTTTGTTTTGAGAAAATATGCTTTCCAACTGTATTTGCATTTCAAAAGATAACTTTACTTTGTTCGTTACTAAGTAGCATTCCAAGTTTATCAGATGAATGGAATGTTGTGATATTTTGGTTTCACTCCTATATTTTGAGAAAAGGAACTTCTTTCTTTAATTATTTTTCTAATAAGGGCTTTATATAGGAAAATTATTTTTTACTAGGTAATTCTTAAATAATTGGAGTTATCTGTTACGGAATCCAGGATTAAAAATGGCAATTGCTCTTGATTTTAAATTTCTTATAATGTTGATTTTTACTGTTAATTTAAAAATCTCTCAGAAAAAGTTAGTTTATGATACCAGTCTACCTTAAAAATTCGGTTAGCATTTTTAATTACTTTAGTATCTAGAGATGCTAATGGATTGTTTTCTTCTATTTCGAGAGTAAATTTCAGTTTTGGATTAAGTAAAACTATAAAAAGTATTTAATATTTGAGTTTATGGAAGTAATATCAACATATCTGTTTCGAATCGTCCAAAATCAGTGAGTCAGTTGTGGACTGAAAAGGTTAACGCGACAAAATGTGCAGTATTCAGTTGGGTGACTGTTTTCTGACTGTTAGGAACAGTCCGGGCAGAGAACCAAAACAAGCCTAATATATCTATCTTCTCGTACCTGGCCCGCACAATATCATGAACTTCACAGAATCCACAAAATATCAGAAATGAAACATTATCGGAAAAAAACCTACTTGTTCGATTATGCATTCATATTATGCGCCAGAACTCAGAAAATAAACGTTACTTCAGCCATATTTTCCAGTCCACCGCATCTATCCCTTTTTAGTCTGTGGTGTCGATGTCGATCAACGCTTGAAGGTCAGTCGAACTTGTCATGACAGTTTTACTTTTATGCCGGAGAAAACCATTTTCACGATTTAAGGTTAGGAACGGTATGATTAATATTTTTTGTTATTGTTATGAAATTATATTAGCACAGTAAAATGCTAAATAGCTATACTGTGACATTAGTTCATATTGTCGACTCCAAAGCCTGTGTATGAATTAAATATTTGAAAAGTGGAGTGTTGACTGAAACTATTCTATTTTTTGTTTATGGTACAAGATGGGCCTCGAAGAATATTGTTGTGTATGTGTGAAAAAAAATTCACACTTGAAAAACATCAAGGAAACAAATGGAAATGATTTAAGTTATCAACATAAACTATCAGTATGTGCTCCTGATCAGGTAAATCATTTATTTATTTATTTTTTGCATTAACTATATTACATTAATATTTTTAAGAAATGGGATGAAGACTATAATATCTGCAAAAATTGCATTGAAAAATTGGCGTTTTCTTACGAATTTATACAGATTTGCATACTTAGTGAAGAACTTCGAAAAGGACAGTTATTGATGTTAATTGAGGAAGGTGATTGTAAAAAAGAAATAGAGGACATGAAGTCCTTTTATGAATGTGATATATGTAAAAAACAATTCAAGTTGAAGCGGTCTCTCAAATCTCATATTACAAGAATACATAAAAAGCAAAGTGATGATGAAAGTAATGAAGATTCAAAAATAGATAAAATGCTACTGTATGTACAAGATCTTAAATCTGAGAAGATGGACACGAAAGAAGATTCTACAGAGGATTTTATCGATCGGGATGAAAATTATTCCTCTGAAGATGAAGTGAAACCGATGTTAGAAACAAAGAAAAAAGTAAATAAGAGAAAAAATCCTCTTACTTGTGAGTATTGTGGTAAAGTGTTTCATCGGAGACAACATTATTCTGCACACATTCGTGCCAAACATACTTTTGAAAAGCCATACCAGTGTGATATGTGTGATGCAAAATACACTAATTCTCATGGTTTGTTGGTTCATAAAAGAAACCATAACAATGAAAAACCATTTATATGTTCATACTGTGGCAAATCCTTTGTTTGCTCAGGTGACCTGTATCATCACAGTAAAATACATTTAAATAAAAGGGAATATAAGTGTAACATGTGTGAGAAAAGTTTTAATACTGCAAGTATTTTACGAACACACAAGATATGTATGCATACAGAGCCTAATGAATGGAAATATGTATGTAGTTACTGCTCCAAAAGGTTTCCTATAAATTCCAGTTTAGCAACTCATCGAAAGAGACATATTGGCATCAAAGATTGTAGTTGTCATATATGTGAGAAAAAATTCTTTGACAAATCAGACTTAATGAAGCACTTAAGAAGTCATTCCAGTGAACGATTGTTCAAATGCAATATTTGCCATGATAAAGAGTATAAAAACCATCATGGCTTAAGGAAACATATGAAGATTATACACGACATTGGAACAATGAAAATTATAAAACCAGAAAAGAGATTTTTGTGTCCCATGTGTCCTAAAATATTTGCTTTCAATAACAAACTACAAAAACATTTGTGCACTCATACAGGTGAGAAACCTTTCAAATGTCCCTGTTGTGACAAAAAATTTATAGATAACTATTATAGAAAAATTCATTTGAAGAAAAAACATAATATTGAGTCACCTAGTGAACATATCTGATAAATATTCAATGAAAGTGTTTGTTTGTGTAAGTTATTGTTACAAAGGCTTCACGTGTTGTTATAGATTCATATGTTTGTAAAATTACATATATTTGGTACTGCTTTGAGGTTTTTATTTTTTCACCAAACATCATTCCTTGGAGACAGTCTGTTTTTTTGGTCACTTTGATTCATAATGTTCCAAGTAAAATTAATTATGTGAAATTTGTATCTATATATACACTCGATACATTAAACTTTACACCTGCTGTGAAAAGCCGTTCAATTGAAATATAAACCAACATCAGTTGAAATAACAATTGGAAATCTAATATCCACTTTCCAGAAAGTAACCATTGCCGGTTGGGTTGACGTGGGAGGTTTGCTCAACTCACTCAATCAACCGCTGTGTGAACTGGTGGTTCATGCCACGAGAAAGAACAATTTATTTTTACTTCCTACTGTCCAATCCGTGCTAGGAATATCACGTTGAAAGGTAAGACCTCGTCAGTCCTTAGCTCTCACAAGTTTTGACTTTTGAGAGTTGTCGTTCGTAGGGGGACGACAGCTGGTAAACGGAAAGACAGATTTTTTTCAACAGATTTACATGAATTAACTACAACTACAAATCTACCTTCATAAAACCTGTCCTGACTCATTTTTGCCAATATAACATTATAATATTATGAAAAACTTACAAAGTACTTTTTAGGTATTTTCTGTAGACATATCATTTTGTAGCTTACAATTATGATTATATAAAAAAATAATGTTGTTCTAAAATTCTCACTTTTTTCAATAATTTTTATATAACAAATGATTGTGTTGAATTGTGTCTGCATATGTTTGGCAGTTTTCAAGTAGCAGTTTTTGCCTATGGGCTCTACTGAAATTTGTGTTTTTTTTTTGGTGCCCAACAAGCATCAGTACTATAACTAGAATTAACAGGATAACCAATGAAACGTCAAAAATAATGTTATCAGTTTTAATTTTGACAAGCATATATATAAATAATCTTTGATTATGTCATGTGTTTCCCCATCTCCCCATACTGAAGATTCCTTCGATTGAGACGAATTGGAATAGGAACCAGAAAGCATACAAAGACAGAAATTGTTTTTGGGAAAGAAAGTGTTTGGCTTTCTACTACTCCATCTTGATACAAAAAATGTGGGAATCTTCCAAAGAAAGTATGGAAGTAATCAATTTTAAAATAAGTCAATACAATAATTTATCTAAGAACAGGCAAATTCTAATTACATGTGTAAGTTTAGAAAGCAATTTTTCGGAAAATGCTCATCAAAAAATAATAAATCAGGGTACCATTGGAAGCAGAATTGACCGCCAATCAAAATAATGTGCCACTTGACCTTCCTTAACATTTAAAATTCTAAGGGTAACATCTACCCCTCCTAGCGGGTTGAACCACGAGGTCTACAAATAGTCCTTGAAATTACCCTCCTTGACAATAAAGTTGACCTGTTTTTCGATTCCTCATACTGGAAAGAAGATATTAAGGGTGGGCAGTTTTCAAATTGACACCCCGTATAATTGGAAAAATATAAAGCCAAAAGTTTTTTTCAGGTATATAGCAATCTTCCTCTTGCTGATAATAATAATAATAATAATAAAGGATGAAAAGTTGCATGATCACTGTAAGGCTAATTGCACACACACCGATTGTAGACGGCCGATTTTATACCGGTCGTTCAAATTCAAATAGTGAACCACATGTAGGAACGGGATCTTGCACACATACCTACCTACCTACATTTAAAATTGTTTAGTCTCATGCAAATTTATTTATAATACTTTCAAATGTAGTGTTGCTAATGAATATTTATTGTAGTTCTCTTGTTCTGTATATGACTTCGATAATTCTTTGTCTTTGGCTGTGCTAAATTGACAAATCGAAGAGTGGATCAAGTCTTCTATTTGGTTACTTGAAAGTACACATATTCACATTATTTATTTATTGTTTTTCTCAATGAAGTAAGCCACTATCGGGCAGATAGTGTAAACATGTCTATCTTCAGCTCGAATAATAAGAAAAATCAAATAACAGGTTTATTTTCTTTAATAAAAAAACCAAATACTATACAATATATCTGTGGTATATATACATGTCACATCCAATATAAAACATGTCAGAAAATAGTAAATGAAAATACTTTAAAATTTCTTTACTGTGACAAATCCAATTACATCACTTTGTAAAAAAGTTACAATGCACACAAAAGTTGAAGAACTACAAAAACTTTGTTGAAAATATCTGTACGGGTTCAATATTTAATGTTGTTCAGTTTTCATAATATAAAGAGTATTTATTACAATTACTATACAGTTACGTTATTATACACCATATAATATTCAATTTCACCTATATACATAAAACGGAAATCCAGAAAATAAGGTACTAGGAACTTTATGAATACCAGCCAGTCATGCATAATTTATTGCTTTTTATTAATGACTAACTATATTAGACCTATACTAATGAATGAAATTAAAACACAAATAGACAGCAATTTCTAAATCTCCCAAAATATTTGTTAGATTTTATTTTTTCAGAATCTTGCATCCTCTATGGTTGAGTTATTGCCTAATGTCCATTCTGATTGAGATCTGTGAAAAATACAATACTGAAACAATGATAACCATATAGTAAAGCCCTGGTTATTCAACAAATCCAACTCGAAATCAAAGCACTCATAAATCATAGAAGTCAGTTTACATACTGACAAAAGTGACTTTTTGCTTTTCAAAATCATTTTTCTGTTTCTCTTGAACAAATATTATCTTTATGTTTGTGCATCCCCTAAAACTGAACATGCACCAACGAAATGTAGTAAAACACACGTAACTTACAAGGAGCCTTCAAACATTTGATTTTGAGACACGAGCAAAGTACTCTTATTTTGAAAAATCTTGGGAAATGTTATTTAGAAAAGTTCTCCAGCATTAAAAACTACATTTAGATTTGAAGTCAGGGTGAAGTTTTAATTTTTTACCCATTTTTGTAAATGGGGACTACGAAAAATGAAAATTTGCTAAAAATAAATAGACAGCATCTTCTATATGCCGGTTTATTTTAAAAGCCTGCAATATTACAAATCACACAACGATGGTGTTAACCACATTAACTTTTTTGAAAGGTAAAATAATTTAAGTTTTTGGTGCAGTTATTTTTATTTTTTGTTAACACCGAAAATTACTCAAAATTGTGCAGTATTGTAACAAGAAGTTATTATTCAATGATATCAAATCACAAAACATTAAAATAAAATAGGTATTTTGGAATAAACTCATTGATTTTCTGGAGATTATTTTGGAGAATTATTTTGGACAAGAAAATCTCTTCAAGTAATTCCATAATGATCTTGGTAATTCCATAATTTCTTTTGCTTTTTGATATACGATTATTAAAAAGAGCCAAAAATGTTGATGTACCAGGGTAATAAATAGTTATATCAAAATATCAACAATAAAAATAAAAACATTGAAAAGAAGTACTCACTACAAAAATAAATGCTAAGTGGGCGAAACAAGCTTCTTAAGATTAACACTGTTAAACAAAAAAGAAAATTATATTAGTCACATGTGAAGAAGGAAAAATAGACCTGAAACCCATTGGCATAAGCAACATTTATACATACACTGTCACATATTGAAGCACATAATCCCAAGATCCTTGATTTATGCAGATTGACTGAAATTGTTTCATGTTAGAATTTTCAAAACACAGAAACAATGAAAGCACATCAAATTTTATATTATATGAAGATTGCTTACCTAGAATAACTAATAGGATTTATGTCAAGAGTTGCATCAACTGGCCCCATGACATATTTGTTTACGAAATTGTACCTCAACAAATTAGTGTTTCCCATTGATACTGCCATATGTACTACCAAATATGCACAGAAAAGAAGGTATATAATACCAAAAACTACAACAATAAGAAGTGGGAACCAGCTAAGTTCCATTTCATTCACAGTATTTATAACAAGATAGGTATTAATTGCTATCACCACGATACTGAGAGCTATCGAAGCTATTTTGTTTCCTCTAAAATAAAAAAAAATTATTTCAGTTCAAAATAAATCAGTTCACTTGAAACATACATTCCATTTACAAATGCTCCCATGATTAGTGGATTACTAGTAAATGCTATAGTAGGAATGGTGGCAAACGGCAACTGGAGACTCATTATAGCATTTAAAGTATCATTCATGTTTGTCAGATCTTCAAGGTTACTGAAGAATGCTAAACAAAAAGTAGGGACAATTGCAATTGTTCGAGTGAATAAAACTCTCTTCCATCTGGCCCACTGGAGATTCAAAAAACCTTCCATTGCAAATTGGCCAGCATAAGTACCTAAAACATTATTATTTACCCATTTTCAAATTTCTTTATTTTTTGATGCAGTTACATCATACTAATAGCCGTTATTTCTGAGATCCTGGCACCCAGTACAGAGTAAATCTACTCCTATAAGTCAGTTCCTTCAATTGTTCGTGACATTCACAGACCAGACTTGATATCACTCCTGATTCATTAATCCCTGAGTGTGGCCTATCTGTGTTTAAAACTTTTGATCCATTGGGAGATGGATACATATTGACTGACATAATACAGTATACTTCATCTTCTGTTTTGGAGGGTCTGGTCAGCATCAGTACTACCTTCACATTTCTTTTTATGCTTTCTCAGTCTAGGTCAGAACAGTTTAGGATTTAATATCATTTCCAAATATTTAATCAACCTCCCTCTAAGTTTTATAAGTCCTAATTCCTCTATGTTGATCCTCTTGGAGAATATAACCAATATTTCCAGATATTTAATCAACCTCCCTCTAAGTTTTATGAGTCCTAATTCCTTTATGTTGATTCTCTTGGAGAATATAACTATGATCAATATGAATGACCTTTTTGGTTCATTTTCACTATTTTCTGCCTATTATAATGCAAAATACCTTGGATCTATCTCATTCATTGCAAAGTTCTGTACTAGGTACTATCTAATAACAGCTACCCATTGGTGAAAGGATTGTGTATACACAGTCAATCCACTTGCAGCTTGTCACTTCGATTCTTTTTTACTTAACACTTGGATAATTAATTATTGTAATTTTTAGAGGCTATATCATGCACAAGGAGCAATCTTACAATTGTTTCTTCAGTGATGCCATTGTTTATTTATTCATCAGCTTTCAAGCACTACTCACATTCTGTATTCAACATTGTGATTTTTGATAAATAAACATATTATTAATATTATTATTATACATTAAATCGTTTCTAGATCAAAGAAGTGCACCTATAGATTTAAGATTTTTAAACAAGCATAATTTTATAAATTTGATTTTATTGAATAGTGTAATCTCAAAAGTTACACACCAGTCATTGTGGAACTTTGTCCTGCTGCTAAAATACCAACAGCCCAAATATACATTGCTACCAAACCATACGTGCAACCTAAGAATATGCCTCCTTTGTAGAGATCTGCGTCTACTAAATCAGTATTTTCCTAGAAAAAAAAGGTAGGTAATTATGATTCATTAACATTCACAAATATTGGATTAAAAATGGTTTTTATATGAAAGTAGCTGTTTCAGGAGGACTTTCTTTCAGTTTGTGTCTGAAAGTTACTTCTTTGCATGATCTACACATCCATGTATAGAGTTATTTATTTTCAAATTGATTATTCCTTCCTTTCTTTGGAAGATTCTCTCATCCATTTTTTTGTATCAGATGGAGTAGTAGAAAGCCAAAAACTTTCTTTCCCAAAAAAGATTTTGAATAATTCTTGAACCAAAAACAAGTACTCTTCCCAATCATCAGAAATGCAAAACTCTTCTCGATGAGCATTTTACCAACCAAGACACATTTTTACTATCCGAAACACATCAATGACTGATTAGAAATTTGCGGGAAGTTTTCTCAAATTTCAACATAGTGATTCATTAAAAGGAATAAAATGGGCTGTCACTGTTCATATTTCTCGTGTCACACCGTGCTGTTTCCAAATTTTCCAAAGCATCCAAAAATCTAGTCATGTACCGATCTCAACAATTTTAGACAGTTTTCATTAATTCTATGGCCGTTCTCCAAGGCTTGTTGAACAACACAGTTTTATTTCATAAATCCCCGACTTTGTGTCTTCCAACATCTTGGTTTTATGGTTACCTAACATTTGTTGAAGCGAGCAAGAAGTTTTAAAAGCTACAAAGTTCAACTTTTTGGAAAATATGATGCAATCCGTTAGAGTATCTTGGTTCATATGGAAGTACACTAAGTTTTTATTCATGTTATGAAATGTCGAAGATTTATGAAGATTCCCCATAAATTTACGATTTCTAATTAACTTATCTACAATATTTGAAGAATACCCGTATTTTCAAAAAGTTAACGTGAAAGTAGTCTTTATAACTTTTACTCTAACCCTAAAAATAAGATGTTGGAAAATGAAAAGTCGTGGACATATGAAATAAGCTGTGAGGAATGTGACAAAATATTTAAAAGACACGCAACAGACATCCGATTTTGAAGATCAGAAAAATCTAGTGTCGTCTTGGAGAACGGCCATAGAATGAATGAAAACTGTCTGAATTTATTGAAATCGATACATGACATTAGATTTTTGGATACTTTCAAGAGTCTGGAAATAGCAAAGTGTGGAATGAGAACAATGACAAAGGTCCCATTCCAAACAGCTCATTGTACTTTTAATGAATGACTGTTAAAATTTGCGGGAACTTTCACGAGAAAATTTCCCGTAAAGTTCCACCTGATATCATTAATGTATATCACACTCTCTTAAAATTTGGAGGAACTTTCACGTGTATACTGTTAGATATAAACATATCCTGAATATGCTAACTTGGTTGGTGAATCGCCCACCGAGAAGAGTATTAGGAAAAATGTTTGTTTTGGATTTATTCTACGCCAGAACTTCCAGTTTAATTTTTTATTCTTATAGCTGATTTTCATTTATTAATTTGTGTTATTTATTATAAGTAAAATATTGAAACCATTATGAATGTTTATAAAAATACATAATTGTGCCTACAGACTGAAATCAGTTGCTTCTATCTTGTGTGTTCAAGTACACTGACCTATTCTGGACTTCCTAGTTAATTTTGATATTTAATGGTTTCTCGATTTTCCTATCATAACTTGCAGATACCTTTTTACAATAAGTAAAAACATTGCAAAACTCCATTATATAAAAAATAAATAATCATTTGGTTTTATGCCTGGTAGAATAATTGGGACTTGATAACCTTCAATAAATTTTTACACGACAATCTGAAGTTTTTTTATATCTCAAAACTATGTTATGTCTGGTGTATTACTGGTGATTATTATTTACTTCATCAAAACCTGCTTTATTGTTGAGTACAAAATGAACTTCTTGTAGCAATTTATTGAAAGCTAAAAAAAAAAACATGAATTGCATCAAATTTAATTCTAATCAGTGATGAAACTAGGGTCTATATACATCTGGAATGACAGTCACACTTAATTAATCAATTATTTGAAATCCAGAACAGAATTATTGTGCCATTAACAATTTTTCCATCCTTATTATGTAACAATTTCTTCTCTTTTAAAACAATGCTTAAATAATCATTTTCGACAAATGATGGAGGGAGCTGTTGAAGCCTGTAAAAAGCATGATTTAAAATTCCGGCTTCTGAGTGGAATTTTTGCTTTATGAAATGGTTTCAGTTTATAAATTTCGAATAGAAATATTTTGAAAAACAAATCTGTGTGAATAATCGTTTGTTATTGTTTGTTTCTAATTTTCAGTGCTATCAAAAAATATAATTTTTTTGATATTACAGACATTGAAAAATTTGATATTTTCTAAGATGGGACTACTCACCGGAAATATTGAGGCGTTGATAGACGGATGTTTGACACATGAATCATGCTAAAAAAATCGAAATTGATATAAATTTAACAAACAAAATGTGAAATTCAAAAATATTTACCAGTTCTTGATTTGTTTTGTTGTACAACCCATGAGCAAAAACGGCAACAACAAATACGTTGATGATGAAACTGACGAATAAAGCTATAGCTGCTTCAATGAAATAATATTTGTTGGCATCTTTAACCTTTTCTGGTTTTGTTCTATCAACTTCTCTTGATTTTACAAGAGCAGAGTGTAAATAAAGATTATGTGGCATAATTACGGCTCCTAAAAAATTCAGTTGAACTAAGAATATAAGTCTTAGAGCCTTTCATGTATTTGGAATAACTACATCAAACGTGAAACCTGAAATGGGTAACTTTTTCAACTACCGAGGTGAGAAAATACTTTTCTGACAAAAACTAAACTGATAAATTGGATAAGGCTTTCGCAGCCAAGACCAGAAGACTTCTGAAGAAGCCAGCCACTCGTACTGGCGAAACGTTATGATACAGTTCCAAACCACGACGGCCTTCAAATCCGAACAAAGATCATAACACTGAAAAACGAAACTTTTTGGCTTTATACTTCTCCATATTTAGAAAGCCAAAATATGTTTTTCTGATTAACGGAAAAACAGATTTTAAAAACTATTCTTTCCTAATATACCCCTTTCGATTCAAAAATAGAACCGTTTAGAAAATTAGAAATTCAAATATATCTTAGCTGAAGTTCTTCACTAAGTACCTTAATTACAAATAGAAGCTTTATGAGTTAATAATGAATAAGGTACTCACCAACTATACCCACTGCTTGTAGTAAAGCGTTAGAGTTGCAATCTTTACACCACGGGATAAACATTCCCTTTACTAAATCTACACCACTAGGTTTCGAAGTTACAAACTCAAAACCAAACGTTACTCCCATTATCGTTATCAGAAGACCAAAAAAAGATTCGAGCTTCCTTAGACCATATTTGTCCAAGAATAAAAATGTAAAAGTATCCACAATGGTTATCAAAACTCCTCCCCAAATAGGTATCCTGAAAAATAACTAAAATGAAAGGCAGCTCATTATTACATAACGTTAATGGTGGGTAATAGTATATTATTCAGCGAGCAAAAATGTGGCCATCATTCGAGCGAATAATAGCTCTATCACTTGAGCAAGTAACGGCCATCTCCCACAAGTATAATACCATACTTTTTGTAATAGGAATATTTATTTTGAAATAAGATAAATTTTTAAAGGATATCCTGAATGAGAAATATTAAATTTCATAACAAGAAGCAATCAAAAAACCACTGAGAATATTTCCAATTTTTGTAATTTTATTCAATTTCGAATAGTTTGAAAATTGTGTGGTTGAAAAAAATTACCGTAGTTGAGATTTAACCCAGGACCACTGGCACTCTGTCCAACGTTCTAGTAATTACTCCAAGAAGAAACTCACGATTCAGTGTAAGATGAAGCTGTTTAATATTATAATAACTCATTTTGTTATCAAATAACGAACTTAAAATATCACTTTACACATTTTTGGTGAAGTACCTACACTCGTTTTCACTTGCTGATTCCATGTTTTTTCCTATTTTTCGTTAGAAACTATATATTTTCAAACGAAATGTCAGTTTATTCTGTTACAGTTCATCTCTACAATTATTGTATAATTTCATCTCTTCAACAATGTTTTAATTGCTATTTTTCTGAATAATTTGCCGTGCTGTTCACTAATTTTGCTCTCATCCAATGGTCCTCAAGAAAGACGATGGCAGGAAGTAGTAGCTCATGAATCGCCAACATCATCATAGCTAGTCACCGCATATTTTTGGTCTCGCTATTGCTCAGAGTGCCTCAGAAAAGTGCAGTTTTCGTACTGACCGGTTATACTAAACATTTGGATAACCACCAAACTACCAGTGCTATCACTTTCTCCTTCAATATCCAACCAAATATGCAGATAAAGTGTTTACTTCAAAGGCGGTGAGCAAAATCACATTTTGAATGATAGTTTCTTCATGCAAATTGATTATTATTTATCAATGAATACCCTTTCCAGGATAATACTGTCCACTTTCTCGTCCTTTGAGCCGGATTCTCTAATTGCAATTTGAATAATTATTCATTGATATTTGCTGAAAAATTGAGATTACTGTTTTGTAGGACTATCACTTGGTTTTTGTTCGTTCATTTTATTCTGATAAAGTAAAAGTTCTGTGGAATAAAATATATTATTTTGGAATATTATACCGATTTATCGATTCTGAATTTGAATTGTTGTTTACTTGGATTCTATTAAAGTATTTGCCTTTGACTCTTTAAATACGATGACACAATATTTCATTTTATCTCTTTTTTCGAGAAAACTCTACACAAATGTACTAAAAATGACAAAAAAAAATGTGTTTCTGAATTCAAAGTTCACTATACTTCACAAAGATAACATTAAGCATGAGTTTGAATACAATCACAATTCGTTATTATCATTTGCGGTTACTTACGCTCGATGATTATTATATGAAGATTGAAAATGCAATCAGAAAACAGTTTGATGAAAATTTTTATGGTATCAAAGATATTCATTTCGAATTTTTCAATTCGGAACACTCTAATAATTCTACTAATGTTAGATTTCCAAAAATTGATTCAGTAAAATTTGATGGCAACTCCAAAAGTGGAAGAAAATTTTTTGATACTTTCAAATTCTCAAACCATGAAAACGATATCTTAATCCAACATTGAGAAACTCACTCATCTAATCTCATATCTCATAACCGAATAAAATCACACTCTACAGGTTTACGTAATCTTCTAGAGACTTATCAAGAAAACTTGGCCGCTCAAGAAAATCTATGATTTCCTATATGCGGGTGGGATTTTCTGGTTTTCAAAATGCTCTCAAATCGACTTGATTCGGAAACTATTATAAAGTTTGTAACAGAATACGGCTCAGGCAATATTCGAAAATTCCAGGATCTCACAAAGTTACTTTGGAGGTGACGTAATGGATTAGATCGAATCTTTGAATTATGCCACCTGAAACGTTCCCAATACGTTGATAACTAAAAAGGTAAGTCAGGTTATAATAAACTTATTCCTTCACAGCGAGGCCCAAATTTGTCGTTCTTCACTATAATTTGGTTGAAGTGCCAAGTGGTCTACTTCATTATGAGACTACTGCAACATAACCCAGAGGTTCTTCCCAGTCAACCTCCACCCCAATCGGGTGCTATTTATAACATAAATTTGGTTCTTACGTGAACTTCAGTGCTTCTCTCTACTGCTTCAATTGAAGTTCTTGATTTTCCAGTCATTCGGGTGCTTCTCGACTATGACAGTCAAGACAATTTAATTTTTGAAAAATGTAATATGTTAGCTATATCCCACTCTAATATCACAAGGACTTGGGCATATAAAATTAAATGCTTTCAAATGTACAACTCTTTCACATTTCACGTCGAACGGATAATCGTACTTTCAAGACAGATGCTATTGTGCTTCCAAAAATTTATGAAGATATGCCCAAATTTTTAGAGAATTGACATTCTTGGTCGCATATTTTCGATATTTCCACCTCCGTCGATATCCCGTTGGAAACTATTTGTCCCTCTATTCTTGAATCAGTTCGCTTGACTGGAAATGCCAATGAACCATTGCCATTAACACAATCCATACAACTGGGTTTATGAAAAATATAAATATTCCAAATAATTTTCACCTATTTGATACAAACATATACGAAATGAAGCAAACTACAAATGAAATAAAGAACAAAACATCATCTGGTTATGATGAAATATCAGTTAAAATTTTAGAAAATCTCCCAGAATATGCTTCAAATATTCTTGTTGAGACCATTAATAAATCATTTCATTCTGGCAGATTTCCTGCATGTCTGAAACTAGCAATAGTCATTCCGCTTCATAAAGGTGGTGAAATGAATGATCCATCAAACTTCTGGCCTATATCATTTCTTCCGACAATGTCAAAAATAATTGAAAAACTGGTTAAAAACAGAATTCTTAACTTCTTAAGTAATCATAACATACTATGCGAATCTCAATATGGATTCCAAAGCCATAAAAACACAGGCAATGCAATCTTCTCTCTTCTGGAAGATGTATATATTGGTTTAAATAATAAAGAATCTATTGGGGTAGTATTCTATGATTTCTTAAAAGCGTTCGACTGTGTGAACCATGAAACACTATTATTTAAACTTCAGTGCTATGGCTTTAGAGGATTGTCATATAACTGGCTTTACAGTTATCTAACAGGCAGGAAGCACTTAGTAAAACTCCATGGAAATACATCGCATATTGAGAATAATACATCAGGTGTAGGTACCACAAGGTTAGGTTCTGGGTCCTATCCTTTTTCTGCTTTATCTGAATGATTTGGTAACCATTGACATTAAAGGGAAGTTCACACTTTTTGCGGATGACACCACGATCCTTTGGCGTGGAACAAATGATAATCTCAGAGACATCACAACTCTGGATCTCTATAGGGTTAGACAGTGAATTCAAACTCCTCATGTTTCAACACAAATAAAACAAACATAGTTTACCTCAAACTCAATTTTGACGACTTACTTATAGAAAGTCAGGCTATAGTTAACAAAACTCATACAAAATTTTCAGGGGATTTATAGATGATAAAATAAAATTTGATGAGCATATAACAAATTTATGCAAAAAATAACATCTGACTGCTATGCAGTCAGATGCGAACTCAATCAATCCTCAGCCAGAACTGTGTATTTTTCTTTGATAGAGTCGCACTTGAGATATGGAATTGCCTTTTGGGGCTTTTGTAGTCAGCAACTACAAAATTCAGTATTTGTTCTACAAAAAAGGGTTGTCAGATACATATGTAGGGCAAAATCACAAGACCACTGCAAACCAATTTTCATCAGTCAGTAATTTTTTTTACTGTACCTTGTTTATTTCTTTTAGAAACCGTTTGGCTAATTCACAAAAAATACGTTACCACACGAGAGAAAGTCGGAATTTACCCTTGCCAATCCCAAAATCAGCAATTACAAAATTTTCTTTGATATATGAGAGCAAGAAAATATGCAATCACCTTCCAATGTGTTATAGGGCAATAGCAAATTTAAAAAATTCAGAAAATTAGTTAAAGAAGTACTTCTGCAAAAAGCCTACTATGACTTAAAGGAATATTAGATGATGTATTTTAACTCTTAGTATTTCAGATGCTTACATAATTGTAATGATTTATTTATTTATTACCTGTAATGGTTTATATATTGTTTTATTTATGTGTATTTGTATATGTACATTTTTAACCCTATAATAATTTATGATGTACTGTTTGGAACCTTTGGTGTAGTAATGAATATTATTGGAGTTTTTTCCTAACAGCAAATCGTTATTTTTACACCTCGACACGTGTTTCGATCACCAAGTGATCATCTTCAAGAGGAAGATAAAACTAGAAACTACTCAAAACTAAAGCTATTTATGCTATTCAGGTACACCATACAGGTAGGTAATCAGTAATCCCACCCATACAAGTGTACTTAATTTTACAATTGGCCTTTCTATTATTTTACAATATGTCCTTATGTATGTTTAAATGTTACAGCTATCCATAGACTTCAGTTCTTTAAGATTAGTTAGACAAGTTAACAACAACAGGCAACTAGATGCCTATGAGAGTGTAGAAATAAGTAAACATAATAATATTATGAATAAAGATAACGGACCAATACCAAATAGCATACTATATAGCTTGTTGAAATAATATTGTTGTGTTTACTGATTACTACAAAAAGACACATTGTAAATATTTAGATAGGCAATATTGTGAAACTAATTTTATATAGCTGAAAATTGTTCTATAACATTTAAAGATACATAAGGACATATTGTAAAATAATAGAAAGGCCAATTGTAAAATTAATTTAGGGTGGTACACTTGTATGGGTGGTATTACTGATTACCTACCTGTATGATATACCTGAATAGCATAAATAGCTTTAGTTTTGAGTAGTTTCTAGTTTTATCTTTCTCTTGAAGATGATCACTTGGTGATCGAAACACGTGTCGAGGTGTAAAAATAACGATTTGGTGTTGGGAAAAAACTCCAGTAATATTCCTATAATAATTGTTTACTGTATATCATAATTTTAATATTTTTTTAAAAACTTCAACATTGTTGACTTCATAAAGTTTCACTAGCTTTGTCAATAAGGATTTCTTGGACAATAATTAATTGATTGATTGATTGACTTGTGTCTGACTCTCAATACAGTTAACATAATCAATATTGGAAATTTTTAAAATACATTATTACTGGGTATTTTCCTAAAGTTTTGTATTGTGCTAAGTAAATACAAACTGTTTCTGTTATGTTTTTCTGTCCTATTTTTTACATATACATGTATTCAGTATCTACTTGAAATTGTATATTATTTTATAGTTTATAGTTTTATATGACTAAGTAGCGATAGGTAATATGTGTAATTTTGTTCGTTTGATTTTTATTTAATTATTTTAACCAAGCTTTGTCAATAAGATATGAATTTTCAGACAGTAAAGCATATTTTGACTTTGACTTTGGAACAGAGCTTGAAAATTCAGCTCATTTATCTCCTCCAAAAGAAGTATTTAAACTCCATTAATGGGCTAGCAATGCATCTTCACTAACAATAAAATTGTGGGAATTTCACCTGTTCAAACTTTTATTGCCTACTATATAAAATGATTTGAAATCCCTGAAACAACTAAAAAAGAAGAATTGAAAATGAATAGCTGAAAATAACAATTATATTAACCAAATAGTTGTTTCAGGGATTTCAAATGATTTTATATAGTAGACAATGGAAGTCTGAACTAGTGAAATTCAACATGAAACACTGTCAATCACCTTTAAACAAATGTAGGAATTTCTGTTCTCTTTCATTAGACTTTGTAAATAAAACTAATACGGTTCTAGAATTGAAATGGAACCCTTGTTTCGATACTTCCTTGTTTGATGTAATTCCTACTGAATCTCTTTGTAATGAGAATTCGATTCTTTCAGAATCGGCCCGGATTTATAATTTTCTTGGCTTTTTATCTCATCTCACTGTATTGGCACTAACATTTATGGACCCTAGGTCTGGAATGAGATACAATTGCTCCACTGAAAATCGTTCAGGTAACAATATTGAAACGAGCTACCTTCACTCAGTCAGATTTTTATTTCTAGACATTTATTCTTCAAAATTCATAGATTTGCTGATGTTTTGGTTTCACCGGTTATGTTTGCTTATGTTTTACCCTATAAGTTAATATACGGAGTATAAGTTAATATATGGAAAATTCTATTAAAATTGAAAACTGAAGAATACTCACGTTCTGTTTGAAAGTAGATATATTGCAACAGCGGTACCTATTACTTCCTGCATGTCACTTCCTATAATAGCTACCTCTACCATTATCCATAGCAATAATCGAGGCGCACGTTTGTATTGTCTGTAACACATTTCTGCTAGATGTAAACCAGTAACAACACCTGAAAAAATACACGACAATCTAACAAGGTTATTTTTTGGTTCAATCAATTAAGATACATTGTATTGTTCAGAGAACACAGAAATTCTCTTCTAAGTTACAAAATTTAGTAAGGTGAAATAATTCAGTCATAGTAGAAAATAAAAAACTGAAATTTTCGTCATTTTTACCCCTCAGCGTAATCTGAAAAATGCACTTCTTCAGGTTTTCGCTAGTACTTTGTAGTGACACAATTTTCTATAAGAATGATTCATTGGTTTTCGCACGCCCAATGCTAAAAAAGGTACAGAGCAGGAATGAAAGCTTAAAAACGTGGTCCCATTGGACTATTTTTTTTTTCATTCTTTCAGGTTGTTTAAATTCTATGAAAAGTCTAGTAGTAGATATGCTCTCAATTATGTTAGGGTTATGTAAGAATTCTTTGAATTGCATTTTTCACAAAATTGTTTTTTACCAATATCCGGAAACCTGGGGAAGTTAATTCACCAGATATTTTTTGTGTTGAAATGGGTATTTTCGTTTTCATAACCAGCTGCCGCCCTTTGCGACTAAAAACCCTGAGAAGTTGAAACTTGTGCGAGATTTGCTATTGATCGAAAAAAAAAAGATATTTTGTCATCAGTTTTCAATTGGTTTTGACCATTTAGGGCGAAAAACAGGAAAAATTATCGTTTTAAAATATTTTTTGGATTCCAAAAGTTGTACCTGATGCAAACAAATTGTTAGGCCCTTCACTTATTTCAACTTGGTAAAAATCCCCTTTGAAATCTTTAACAACAAATCTACAAAAAGTTTGACTTTGAAGCTCAAACGAATTTCATGAGATGGAATTATATAAAATTCACGCTCAAAAGCTCCATTTGAATCCTCTGGCTCTGAACATAATCTTGAGCTCTCATCATTTTTTTTCTATGATTAGCTACTCAGTAGGCTCATCATATTTGGAAATTATTTTTCTTTTTTCTAAGCTATATAGCTAGGGTTTTAACTCAGCTAGATTGGTAAAGGAACTCTATGGGGTGGCCTTGCAACAGATTGAGCATTACTTTTCAACTTTAGAGCACATTTTTTACTGAATTTGCCTGATACTGTGACACATGTACCGCACTGTCACTTCCACCTGACTATTGATATGCTCGTGGCTAGCGTTTATATATCGTAATCGAATGCGTTAAAAAATTTCGCCGGAGTTGCATCGAAATCGGTAGCATTATTCTCGCTACATCTAGAGCGATAGCGAACATCGTACATTTGCGCGCTCTTAGCTACGTCACGATTGGTTTATGGCTACCAGTGACGGCCGGCGCTATTTTCTTTCGGACATGATTTACAACACTACCCCTTTTCATGAGGTTGTTCGCCCCGAACAATATTCCAAGAGGGGACATCACGACCCATGTAAGGACTCAGCCTCTCTATGTGGACAACTTTAGACTTGCTTCTGGGTGACAATTGGATTCTGTACACCAGATCGTTTATCTTTTTGGCTCTCCATCCGGGCTTTTCAATTTTCGAGTGAGGTCATCTCGAATGCTCATGGAGTCCCTATTGGAGCCAGTAACATTTTTCCTGGTGGCCGTGTTTGGAAATCTCTTACCATTTCGGCATCACTCCTTTGGCAATAGATTCTGGTACAGTTTTCAAGACAGGATTCTCCTTCTGCGCTACGATGTCTTGCCTTGTCAGGAAGTTAGTGCCACCCTCAGAGGCTGTTAACGACCGTACCACACCATGGTCAGGTGATTCCTCAAATTGTCTGTCCGTATCCTTGGACAAGGGACCCTTACAGGTTGCTACCCTCCGGGTCAGAGGGGACCCGAAGCAGCGAGAGGAAGGGGATCTTATCTCCCTAATAGAGCTGTCCATAAAGTAGTATTTGCCCGCTGCGTTATCACGTCTCCTTCTGGTAGTTGAGTATTCCTGTCCTCCTGGCGTTGGCAAAATTTGAATCCGGTTGTCAGGGTTGGCGCCCAGTCGTCATCTTGAAAGTTTCATCTGTCAATTTCACTTCAAAATAAAGTATTCATGCATTAGTTTCATTATCCCAAATTTCAATTTTTTGAGTTTACCCGTTCAAAAATTAAAAGGGAGGGGGAACATTAAAGAAATGTACTATATATCGTAATCGAATGCGCTAGAAAATTTCGCCGGAGTTCCATCGAAATCGGTAGCATTATTCTCGCTACATTTAGAGCGGCAGCGAACATCGTACATTCGTGCGCTCTTAGCTACGTTACGATTGGTTTGTGGCTACAAGTAGCGGCTGGCGTTATTTTTTCCAGAACATGATTTACAACAGTATGTTTTTACTATTTCCTCTATATATAGATTTTCTATTCAGTTTATGTGATGTCTGATAATATTTTTAGAGTTAAATCAAGTTTGTTAGTAAGAAGGTTTTTATATGAGTTGTCAAATAAAAAGAATTTAAAAACGTCAGTAGACTTTATTTGATAATAAAATTATATCCATCCTAAATTTCAAATATTGGCGAACGTGACAGGTCTAAGTTATTGATGATTGATATTATGCAGAAAGAAAGAAAGAAAGCAGCTGCGAAAACATTTTTGCAATACTACCTAGATGTAGCCTTGAGTACGAAGCAAACGAGTAAGGCACAAATACTATCACTCTTGAGACAATTGGAAGGCAAGAGTGGTCGACTATTCACCATTGATGAAACCTTCAATGAGCAGTTATTTTCTAGAAAAATTCAACGATGCCGAAGTTAAACAAGAGTTCGACGACATGAAGTTTTATAGAGCTGAAGTAATCAAATATAAATCTAAATGGATAGTCAGATGCGAGCAGATTGTGCAACCAGTTCACAATGTTCTCGTGGTGAAAAAATCAATCGTAAATTTCGATTTCCAAAGTAAGAGCTGACCAAATTCGACGGAAATGTGAAAAGCTGAATCTGGTTTTGGGGACAGTTTAAAAGGATAAACCAGGATGAAGACATCGATTTAGAAGACAAGTTTCAGTATTTGGTGCAGGCAACGGAACAGGGATCACCAGCACGGGAATTTGTGGAAAGTTCCGGCGCAAACTACAAAAAAGCACTCGACCAGTTGAAAGTACGGTTCGTTGGAGAAGAATTTCTGATTGAAATTTATGTGAGAGACTTGCTGAACCTAGTTCTTAACAGGTGAACAAAAATAAGTCAGCTATGTCATTTTAATCTTTATATGATAGATTGAAGACTCAATTACGTGTGGTGTGACCACTGAAAAGTATGCTCAATGCTTTTCCCATTGGTGGAATCCGCACTTCCGAGTGAGTTACTCAAGATTTGGAAAATATATCGTAATTTGAAGTTGCAAATACATAGTAATATTGAAAAAGATTCTTTTGCTTTTGATACCTATCTTACAATGTTGTTGGATTTCCTGAGAACCGAGGTCGAATCAGAAGAAAGAATCAATTTCGCGAAAACGAGTTTTGAAATTGAGAAGGATTAGCCGAAACATAATAGTAAGGGAAAATGTTCTGCTGCAACATTGTATAGGGTTATTACAAAATATTCTTCTAAGGTAAGAAACCAAACTGTATATTTTATAATAATAGTACCCATGTAAGTCAAAATTGTTTTGCTGCACAAAAACTTTTTTTGGAAAAAGAAAAGCGATAGTTGTGGAAAAGAAAGGTTGATTTTATTGTTTGAGAATCAATCATATAAGCAAAAATTGCAACGCTTTTGTAGGATGTTTAATGTGCGCACGGAAATATTTTTCAATAATGTGATGTGATTTAGATTCAAAAAAGGTTCAACCAGATGAAAAGTCCAAACAAAAAATGGAAAATGCTTTGACAAGTAATTTTTCAACCGACACCGGATCTCAAAAATCGTATATTTCATTGAAGTGTGCAAAATATTTGAATTTTAAGCCATCAGGAAAGAAAAATATTATACAAGGTGTTTTTGGTGGTTTTCAATCATCTCCTAATCTCCATAATACATACGATATCGCAATAAGTGACATTAAATATGACTTTATTTGCAAATTATCAGTATTGGAACAGAATAAGATATGTAATCAAATATCTAGATTGCGAGATTCATATGTTATAGATTATTTTAAGAATAAAAACATTATTTTGAGTGATATTAGTATAAATAATCTTCCACAAGAAACTGAATTGTTGTTAGGACTATGTTAGATGGACTATGATGGGAGAACTAGTAGTCCATAACACAAGTAAAAAAGTGAAAATCGTATTTTTTCCGGTTTTACTAATTTTTCTATTGTTGATTTGTGAGAATTATATGTTTTGGGTAACCAGGAGCCCACAAATATTACACTAAAAGAAATTATTGATTTTAAAATGGAAAAATATTTCGAAGAAACGGTTTTGGAGACATGATGGTACACCTCACGATTGGATCTTCATCAAGTAACGGCCGAATCAATGAAAAAAATGGTGAATATCAAGTAAATCTTCCTTGGATAGAAACCGTTACTTTAACACCTCGACATGAGTTTCGATCACCAAGTGATCATCTTCAAGAGTAGCATTAAACTGTTAAAGTTCAATCTTCCTTTTGAAGATGATCACTTGGTGATCGAAACACGTGTCAAGGTGTTGGGGAAAAACTCCAGTAATATTCAATAAAGAAATAGCTGAAGCAAGGTTGTTGTCTCCAACAAAAACGTTGATTATCTTAGGAAAATTTGAAGATTATAGTAAGGTTTTTGTAGAATGACAATCATTAGATATTATAGAATAAGTTAGGGGAGATACAATTGATAGGCCAAGTCACTATTTACCTCATCTTGCCATTATTAAAAAAACAGTATTACTACTAAAATTAGGCCAGTATTCAACGCATCAACGAAGAATATACATATTGAACAAAGAAAAACGATTTCTATTAACTTCACACAAAGTGAATTTTATTTCAGACATTTCGGATACTTCTCCAAATATATGAAAATTGTGAGAATGATGGGTTATATTTTGAGATTTTATAATAATTCTTCAAAGAAAAATCAAATTATAACTGGCGAATCAACTTTCGATGAAAAAGAAATGGCAGAAATTCGTATTTTGTAACTTATACAGAGAGAAAGCTTTATTACGGATGGGAAATTGATTGGGAATATTCATTTGATGATAGACAAAAATAATATACGTGTACAAACTGAACTTATACTGGGTGTTGACAGTAATGATTTCAAGTATCCTGTTGTTTTACCATATAAACATGTTATTGTTAGGAAATTGATCGAGGAACAACATAAAATACATCTTCACGCAGGGGCTCAAACACTTTTTGAAATAATTCGTGATATATTTTGGATCCCGAATGTGTCCAGTGCAAACGATTCAAAAGTAAATGCATAAATATACCTTTTGCGCCACTACCGAAAGATAGGATAAACAATGTGTCCGCTTTTGAGTTAACGGGAGTAGATTTAACTGGACCGTTGTACCTGAAAAGGGAGAAAAATCTTGGATCGTACTGTTTAGCTGTGCAGTACATTGAGCAATGCATCTGGAACTGGTGAAATCTCTATCAACATACGCGTTTTTATCATCACTGAAGCGATTTATAGCTTATATATTCTGACAACAGGACAAATTTTATTGGAGCAAAAAATTATTTGAAGAAGATAGACTGCTGGAATTAAGTTATATACTACTCTACAGTTCGAAAGATCAAATGGCATTAGAAACAGCTGTTTGGTGAGGCAGTTGGTGGGAACGCATGTTCAGAGTAATCAAGGAATTACTTCGTAGAAACTTAGGGAAAGCAATTTTAATATACAGGGTGTTCCTTAAACACATGCTAATATTTAAGGAGGTAATTCTTAGACCCATTTTAAGAAAAAACTTCCTATGGACGTATGTCCTAAACGCCTTAACTTTTGAGATACAGGGTGGCAAAGTTTTCAAAAATAATCAGTTTTTTAATAATAACTGAGATAATTTTGTAGACATCTTTGGCATATTTGGTACATATGTTCCATGCCTCAAGGCGCATTTTCT